TCGAGGGCACCCTCTCCACAAGCCGCCGCCTCACGGCCGGCGTACCACAAGGCTCCTGCCTCTCACCCCTGTTATTTACGCTCTACACGAGCGACATACCCAGAGACCCCCACGTCAATCTCGCGCTTTTCGCGGATGACACGGCGCTCTTTTACTCAGATCGCAACCTCAGCCAATTAACGACTCGACTCCAAAGCGCCGCCGACCGCCTCGGCGATTGGTTCCGCAAATGGAGAATCGATATTAACCCAGAAAAAAGTGTGGCGATTCACTTCACCCGTAGCACCCCCAACCCCCATCCGCCACACCGTTACAAAGGTCCTCGCCAGTACAGAAAGTTGGGGCAAATATCACTATACGGCCAAACTCTCCCCTGGGAGAAAACGGTCAAATATCTAGGAGTCACTTTCGACTCGCGTATGACTTTCACTACGCACATCAATCAAGTCCGAAATAAAGCCGCGTTCGTCTCCGGCCGGCTACACAATTTAACGAATAAACATAGTAAAATGCCCTTAAGGCACAAATTATTGTTATATAAAGCTTGCGTAAGGCCAATCATGTCCTACGCATGCATGATCTTCGCACACATAAATCCTACGCGCATTGACGAATTGCAAGTAGTCCAAAGTAAGTTTATCCGCCGCGCAACCGGTGCGCAATGGTATCAGCGCAACGTCGACCTGCACAGCGATTGCAGACTCCCGACGATTCGCGCTCATTTTAAAGATTTGACAAAACGGTTCTTCGATAGAGCCCAGCATCATCCCAACCCTCTGGTGGTAAGCGCAGCAAACTACCTACCGGACACTAACGCGAACGTTAACAAGCGTCGCCCGCGAAACGTCCTCATCGACCCGGTCGACGAAGAGGACTTAGACACGATGGACCCACCGCCGGGGGTCCCGCCGGATAACACTACACCCCACAGTTAGTGTAACAACAATCACACCAGTTCGCCCTCGCCTCCGAGCACGGCGAGACCCACACAACGCGTACACAAGGTACACCCGCGTTCCGGGGCGGTTCTCACCGCTCCCAGCCACCGATTAGCTAAATGCACAGTCGACGGCCGTCGGGGTCTCGGTCCGAACCGGCGACCTCGACGGCCCTTAGATGACACACCATAGTAGTTAAACTCACGCATGAGCACATGCGCGACCCTACCCATAGCGGAGGGTCCAAACCCGTGGGTTCTGGCTAGCCCACCGGTTCTGCGTCCGATGAAGCTTTAATAGTCTCGGGACTGAAAGCAAAAACATCAGTTAATACAAGATACAAGATAGAGGGTAGGTAGCTTAGGCTAAATAGATTAGATTTTCAAGATTTTATTATATAAGATTTTGTGTTATTTTAAACTTTTTAGTGCTAATAGTTTTTTGAAGTCGAATCGTTATTTCAACTTCACCTGACCTATTTTTATTTTTACTCGCGACTTGTCTTGACCTTCACAATGTCAAACTCCTTAATCCAAAAATGTTGTACAACCCATTCTCTCTATAAATCGAGTTAAGGTTACACTGTTAGTGATTCGATAAGTAACCTCTTACGTGATAGCCCTTAGCCCGAACTCAGCACGAAAGACATTACACGAGTATGAACTTTACAACGTAATTAGGTACTTCAATTACCATCGGTAATCATCCATCTTTGAATTCAACATTTGCAGAGACTAAACAAATAGGCAAAATTCTGAAAACGTCGTGTAAAAAATGGTCCTAATTTATCAGCGGACGTTATTAAAACGGCTACGTCACTGATTTTAATGGATTACGAAACGGGGTCATGTTTTATTTAAAATCTAATAATATATCGTTTATAATAACAGATTTTGGGGCCCTTATCACGAACTTCGCATTTAATATACATCAGCAATGATTAATTGGTTGTCGTTTGTACATTGCTGCCAATTAGTATTTAATTTAGTGCTTATGATATTATATTATTTTATATACTAGTACGTTGTCTCAGCTTGTGGGCATAAATATGTGTCAGGCTTTGATTATATAATCGAAGGTGTCAGGCACATTTCACTTAAATTAATGAAATTAGGCTCTACGAACCTTATTCTACAGCTTATACAGTGAAAGCATATAATTTTTTTTTTATTTGCGTAAACTGAACTGTTATTATTTTGGAAATACACGCTTAATACCGTTAAAAAAATGTACTTGGAAAACATAAGTACATAAACTCTTTTGTTAGCTTTAGCTCGCTAGGTTTTTCTGTATGTTTGCTTCGGTAATAAATTAAAAGCATAAAAGGTTTAGTATAGAGTGTGACTCGTTGAAGTCGCAGCTTTTATCTCGGTTTATTAGCATGTAGCCCTTATGGTTTCTTGCGAAATACGTTCTCATACCAGTCTATCGCCTCAGAAAGTCCTGGGACGTTATGACATGCTTTATTTGATTCCTGATTGGCGTGGGGAGTAGTGGTCCTGCCTCTTGCGCCAGAGGGTGTGGGTTCGATCCCCTCTACTGGAAAAATATTGTGTGATGAACATCGTGTTTTGCCAGTGTCTTGGTGTTTATATATGTATAATATGTATTTATTTACAAAAGAAAAGTATGTTTAAGTGAGTTTATCAGTTTATCTAGTACCCATAGTACAAGCTTTGCTTAGTTTGGGACAAAGAACGTTGTGTAAAAGATGTGTCCGATATCTATTTATTTATTTCGACACTTTGAACTGGTCAATCGCTCTAGCTTCCACATGGCCAGACCGGTGAGCGCGAGCGGTGTTATCGATAAAAATTGATTATTGTGGACCTCAAGTCACACGGCAGATTAGGAATTACTTAACAATATTTTTGGAATTATGTAACTGATCGGAAAATGCAATTACTTAACTCATCGGAAAAAAACCCTGTGGTTTGGTACATAGCTTACTTTTAGAACGACGACTTCTCTTGATGGTCTTTTTAAAACGTTATTTATTTTTTAGGCTGTCAAACGAATCACATTTAGCTTCTGAGCCATGAAGCATTGGTTGCAACCCTGGCTCTTATCACTTTATCTACCATTTCCGAGATCGATATACAGTAATAGCAATACTTCATAATGACAAGCGAATGAGATAATTCCCATAAAATTGACCCATAAAAATTGATAAAAGTTATTTAGAAGTTATAAAGTTATTTTATATTCATTTTTGTAAAAATTGTTATTTTTTTTTAGTAAACACCCTGACAATTTTACAACCTGGCAGTAAATCGTTCAAATCATTAAAAACTTTATCATTTTGTGTTTTTTTTTTCAGACTGTAAAAAACCAAGTGTCCGTTTCTTTATGCAAATGAGTGATTAAACGTTTCATTACATCGTCTACGTCTTACGTCTAGTCAGAGTTCTTTAAGATGAGCTACTCCTAAAAAACAAGGTAACAAGACAAAAATGTAATATCACCGCATCTTACGATTCGCTGAGAGGGCCAAGCAATTTTATGATATGAATATTTCTTAATCTTTATTCGTAATTTCGCTTGCTTTACAATACGTACACGAATTTTAAGACCAATGAATATCCAGTTCCCTTCGGCGCTTACATTAATTTACTTAATTCTATGGATGTATAAATTTGCCAATTGTGTCATGTTTATATGACGTGTTCCTGAGAGCATTTTGGTATAAAGATATCAAATTAGTCCGACGCTTTTCGGAAATACCGCATTTCTCTTAACTGTTTAATTCAGATGCTATAAATTTAAATCCATGTTATTCACTTTATGCAAAACGCTTTTTGATGTGTAACATCTTCGTCATCTCTTCGTAAGATACTCGGTGGGACTAATTATGTACACGCAACAGATTTGTGTAACAGGGAGTGTTGCATTTTAGCGCGTTACTTTACCTTTTTTCTTAAATAAAAAGTATTTTAATTTAATTTAATTTTTTTTTAAATATTATTAACATACTTAATATAATGGTAAATGTTGGATAAAATATTTATTCATTTTTACTTTAGTGCTATTACCTTAAATAAGGCTTACATAGGGCGAACTTAATGCCTTTTGACATCCTCTCCCAAACCGGGGCGTGGATAAATAAAGGTACAATAAAAATGTTCAATTATTAATGTAAATACTATAAACAATTTATTATACACATACACGCGAAAATGTTTTAATTTTTTAATATTAATATACGGAAACCTACAGATGTCCATTGATGCCCATCTCTAATTAAATATTAATACCATCACATGTTTCTGTTGTACGTGTGTAGTTATTAATTTCTCATTTAAAGATTTAAATGTTACACACAAAATGAAAGTAGATTTTTTCAACATAAAATTTTTTTTCAGTTACAAAATGTATTGGATTTTTAACCTGTTTCATGCGCCAGAGGCTTTCATTCCATTATTGGAAAAATATTGTGTGACGAACAAAGCATTTTCCTTGTCATACATAAAAACATAGTCTTGGTGTCATTATATCGTTAAGTACCTGGAGGACCGAGCTTTGCTCGGTTTTTTGTTGGTAAATCATGTATTTTGGAAATAAAAAAAAATAAACAAAATGATCTGGTATAGAAAAAAAATAAAAAAAATAAGTGTGTAAATGATCGTGATACGACCCGCGGCCGTCTATTTTGGGGCCGCCCGATTACCGACGGAGCTATTATAACATTTTTTTTTTGCTGCGAAATTTACTGTCATATTCGAATGATATTTTTTATTCCCTGAAAACAGGGATAAAAGGACATTTTCTAAAAATAAAACCTAGCTAGATCGATTTTTCGCCCCCGAATCTACGCAAATACTAAATTTCATGAAAATCGCTAGAGCCGTTTCCGAGATTCCGATTATATATATATACATATAAAAATTGCTCGTTTAAAGGATAAGATATGCATTTATTTATATGTTAATAATTATTTCATTTGTATGTTTCTCAGTTACCTAGTTACCACAGCTCTTTTCTTGCCTTGAGAAGTAGAATAAAAAAATTAAAAAAGTTATTTAAATTATGCTCAGATAGTTAATTAGTTTTAATTTTTCCCAGGTTGCTTGGGGGCGCTGTCGGTGGGGGTTGCATTAGCCCTGTCTCCGGTGACGGTAGCCCTATGCGTGCGCAAGTCGACGCGCGTCACGGCCGTGGTGGGTGGTTTAGTTGCCGCGCTGGGCTGCCTGTTCACGTCCTTCGCCACGCAGTTCCACCAGCTTTTCTTCAGCTACGGTTAGTGAAAAACATTCCCTACAACACCATTTAAAATTTCAGCCTGTTTGAGTCCACTGCCGAATATAGGCCTCCCCACAGCACTTCGTGAAGCACGGTACTGAGCATCCTATTCCTGCGTCCAATTACCGCTCTCAGATCGTCACTCCATCTAGCGGGGAGTCCCCCTATACTACAATGGCCAATACCAGTTTACCACACAGCACCACTAATAATTATTTATGAACTTTGTGGTGCATTTACAAAGCTATTGACTTCCGCGCAAGGGATCGTGGGTTCGATTTACATAATTTGAATACAGCATTCGTGTGAACAGAAAATTATACCAGATCTGTGTGTTTATCCCCATAGAGAAGTTGACATTAGACAAGCGGCCTCTCTTAAAAAAAAGTGTAGCCTAATACCGCTTACAAAACATAATTCACACGTTTTGCTACCGCCACCGACGTGGAATAAGGGCAGGGAGATGAAATAAAGTTAAATTTATATAGATTTAATACTATTACCTACTATTTAATTGTTAAAATATTTTTTTCATTTAATCAGGAAACTTAAAAAAAAAAGAGAATCGCAGTACAAGAAAATCATCAAACTCTTCTATTTGTATTCTTTTGGAATACATTTATTTATTTTTATTGAAATTAGTATTACATCCTTGTAATTAATTCATCCAAAATAATAATATCCAAAGTAATAATTCATCCTTGTTCATTTTTTACTGAAATTTGCATCGAACCACGCAATATTATTAGAATTGATTGATATTATGCCAAACTAGAGCCAGAATGACACTAAAATGAGCAGGAAAGAAGAAAAACATTTTTCTGCACTTTTAAAATATTTTAAACTGATCATCTACATCAATAGCTATACGGCGACATGTCTGGAAGCTTTTTTATAAGTTTTTCACACGAATGAAGACCGGCCATGACGTCATCGTGAAAATGTTAATATCTACTTGGCTATTGACATTTTCAGATTTCAGATTTCAGATTCAACTTTCTTGTTCCAAATTGGTTACAAACACGACACAATAAGGCCTTAAGTATATATGTGGAAGTTACGATACATAGATATGATCGAGACATTTTTGTTTGCAGGTATTATCATGGTCTAGATTTGTTAAAGTCCCAACTGATAAAATTAATATTTTTGTGTAACGATGTTTTCGCTTTAAGTCTTATCAACTTGGCTGCATCAAACTTACGTAAAATTGAAGTGCACGATGAATCGTGAAAGCATGGAACAGTTTTGTAGTAAAATTTTTATTATATTATTTTCGCCAATATAAACCGCGCGCTCCCGCCAAATAAATCTACACCACTAACGCACCCGAAATTGAAACGCGTGAACTCTTGACAGTTCAATTTATTTCATCCGATTCGTTTAAACGGACTTCAAAGAAATCCGCTAATTGGCTTTCAGCAAACAAGCGGATATCCAGTTCAGCCGATATCACCGACAGAATTAAATAAACACAAGAGTGCAGAGTACGTTTGATGATTGCGCTGCATTTCTCGCACAACGCATAAATCAATGGGTTCCTTGAGTTTTATTCAATTTCGGTATAAAAAATAAATATATAAATTAAGAAAAAATAAATAAATAAAGTAAATATCAATCGTCTTGTATCTTGTATCTTGTATTAACTGATGTTTTTGCTTTCAGTCCCGAGACTATTAAAGCTTCATCTGACGCAGAACCGGTGGGCTAGCCAGAACCCACGGGTTTGGGCCCTCCGCTGTGGGCAGGGCCGCGCATGTGCTCATGCGTGCGCTTAACTATGACATGTCATCTAAGGGCCATCGAAGTTCCGGTGCGGACCGAGACCCCGATGGCCGTCGACTGTGTTTTTAGCTAATCGATGGCTGCGGGCGGTGAGAACCGCCCTGGAACGCGGGTGTACCTTGTGTACGCGTTGTGTTGGTCTCGCCGTGCTCGGAGGCGAGGGCTAACTATTGTGTTTGTTGGTACACTAGCTGTGGGTGTAGTGTTATCCGGCGGGACCCCCGGCGGTGGGTCCGGCGTATCTAAGTCCCCTTCCTCGACCGGGTCGATGAGGACGTTTCGCGGGCGACGCTTGTTGACGTTCGCGTTTGTGTCGGGTTGGTAATTTGCTGCGCTTACCACCAGAGGGTTGGGATGATGTTCGGCTCTATCGAAGAACCGTTTTGTCAGATCTTTGAAATATTCGCGAATCGTCGGGAGTCTGCAATCGCTGTGCAGATCGACGTTGCGTTGATACCACTGCGCACCGGTTGCACGGCGGATGAACTTATTTTGTACTATTTGCAGCTTGTACAAGCGAGTAGGGTGCGTGTGGGCGAAGATCATGCATGCGTAGGACATAATAGGTCGTACGCAGGTCTTATATAATAATAATTTGTGCCTTAAGGGCATTTTACTTTTAGCGTTAGTTAAATTGTGTAGCCGGCCGGAGACGAACGCGGCTCTATTACGAACGTTATTAATGTGCGTAGTAAATGACATACGCGAGTCGAAAGTGACTCCTAAGTATTTGACCTTTTTCTCCCAGGGGAGCGGTTGGCCATAAAGGGATATTTGCCCCAACTTTCTGCATTGGCGAGGGCCATTATAAAGATGTGACGGGTAGGTACTTCGTGTGAAGTGAATCGCCACACTCTTTTCGGGATTAATATCGATTCTCCATTTGCGGAACCAATCGCCGAGGCGGTCGGCGGAGCTTTGGAGTCGAGTTGTTAATTGTTAATTGACTGAGGTTGCGATCTGAGTAAAAGAGCGCCGTGTCATCCGCGAAAAGCGCGAGATTGACGTGGGGGTCTCTAGGTATGTCGCTCGTGTAGAGCGTAAATAGCAAAGGAGAGAGGCAGGAGCCTTGTGGTACGCCGGCCGTGAGGCAGCGGCTTGTGGAGAGGGTGCCCTCGACTCGATATCGAAAAGAGCGGTTCAACAAAAAGGCCCGGATGGTGTGTACGAGCCTATCTGGCACTTTGAGTGTGTACAGCTTGTAAAGCAAGCCGTTGTGCCAGACTTTGTTGAATGCTTTTGCGACATCGAAGAATAGAGCCCCTGTACTAATGTGTTTGGGGTGGTTAAGGCCTTTTAGGATGTGCTTCGTTAGGCGGTATAGCTGATCGGGACAAGAGTGTCTAGCTCGAAAGCCGAATTGTTCCGTCGGCAGAAGGCCGTTGGAAAACACGTGCTCTTTGAGCCTGTTTAACAATAGCCGCTCGTAGAGCTTCCCCAGACAACTGAGGAGGCTGATGGGACGATAGCTAGAGGGCTGGTTGGCTGGTTTATTCGGCTTGCGAATGCCGATAACCGTGGCTTGTTTCCAGTCGTCCGGAAATTAGCAACTGAAGAGTAGAGTGTTGAAAATGGTCGCCAGTAAACAGATAAGCGGCCCAGGGAGAGCTTTGAGAATTTTGTTACTGATCTTATCTGGGCCCGGGGCGGATTTCGGTTTTAAATTTTTAATAATATCTTGGACCTCTTCGGGGGCACTGAACTTAAAGGATCGCCTTCCGGTGGAAGCGCAGCCCTAGTCTCGATTCCACGGTCCACCTCCGTTAGGTGGACTGTATCGGTGTGTTCGCGTGATGGCGTACATTGCTGCTCTAGGTTGTCCGCAAGGCATTCGGCTTTTTCGGAGTCATCTAGGGCTACTGATGCGCTGTTAGGTCTAATTAATGACGGTAGAGATTCGCGGGGTCTGCTTTCAGACTGCGGGCCAACCGCCAGTAGGCGGTGTGCGATGGCTCGATGTCCTTTAGGAGAGTGTCCCACGTTGTATGTCGGTGTTCCGATACACGATCTTTGACTTCTAGCTGAAGGCGTCGAAGTAGGGTTCGGTTCGATTCCGATCGGTATCGGTCGAAGGCGCGTTTGGCTGCATTTTTCTGTCTAATTAGCAGTCTTAGGTCGGGCGGAAAGTTAAACCGTCGGTCGCCCGACAGTTCCACCGTCCGTTCCGAGTCTGTGACTGCGGAAGTAATGGTTTCTCGGAGACTTGCTATCGTCATTGAACATAGATATCGTCTCGGGTAGTTCGATTAAGTCCTGGGGGTCCAAGGCCTTGAGTTTGACCTCAAGACGATGCCAGTCCACTACGGATTTGGTCGGAGGGACCGCGCCGGCGTTCTGGCCCAGTTTACACAGGACGGGCCTGTGATCTGAATCTAGTTCGTGGATTGTCTCTATCGACTCGATGTCGAGCGAGACCTCCTTGAATAACATGATATCTAGGATACTCGGTGTCGCGTGTTGGTAGTTGTCCACCGTAGGATACCTAGTTGGAGTCGCAGGAGCGATTATGCTAAAGTTTAAATTATCGGATAAGCTAAAGAGATGCTTTCCGTTGTTATTTGGGATGCTGTGGGTGTCCCATGAACCGTGTTTGCAGTTTAGATCTCCTGCAATTATCACGGAAGGGCCTAAGTTGAGTAGCGTAACTAGGTCGCTTTGTAATAAGGTTTTGTTCCCCGAGAGGTAGGCTGAGACTAGTACAAGCGGCCTGTGGCCGGTGAGCGCTAACCTACACGCGGATGCCTCTATTTGACCTAGCTCTGGAATGTCGAGCGGGCAACAGTGCAGTGTTACCTGCGCGGCCACCTGGGGTTTCGTCCAGGCGTTTTTGACGGGTACGGGCGCGGGAATGAATCTAACGGGCGCGGGTTTGGGCAACGTGGATTTCGCGGGAGATTTCCTCGCGGGAGTTTTCGGGGCCTTAGCGCAGCCTCTGTAGCTAGCCGGGTGGCCGGTGGCGTTACAGTTTACGCAGTCCGGTGGATCTGCGCAATCTTTCGGCCGTGTGCACTCGGTAGTGCCGTGGTCACCGGTACATTTGACGCACCTTGGGTGAGCGAAGCAGTTATTGGCCGTGTGGCCAAAATGCTGACAGTTGTGGCACTGTGCCACAATACCTGACTTACGCGGGGGCTCGATGACTAAGTCACTGAGCCCACAGACCCTCTTCAGGTTGAAGATGGCCTTACCTTCCGGGGTAGGGTCAAGTTCAACCATCACCATGTCCATAGGGACACGGGTTCTGGTGTGTCTGAGGCGTCGGACGGCATGCACAGGGTATCCCTGAGTGTGGATGTCGGTTTTCGCCTTGTCGACATCCGACTCTTTGGGGACGCCGTTGATAACTACCCGAAGCTTGCGTTCTTCGGGCAACGAGTAGGTGTGAAAACCCATCTTATTTTCGCGCAAGTATTTCGTTACGCGGCGGAAATCGTCCGTTGTGTCAAGGTATACGCGGATACCCATTTGTGTATTTTTCGACCGGGGGTCGCGGATATTGTGGCGTTCAAACCACGAACAAATTTGGTGCCACTTAGCCTTCTCCTGAATGATGATGGGTGGAGGAGGCTTTATTTTTCGCTCGGAGGCGAATTCGGGCATCGGATTTGCCGCCGCGGCCACCTTTTTAGCGGGCGTCGCGGTTGGACGGATCGTTGAGGCGGCCTCGCATTCGGGGTCGCTGTCGGTAGCGGGGCGTTTCTTGCCCTTTTTACGCGATTTAACGACGGTGAAGCCGTCGGCGTTCGCGTTTTCAGCGGGGGTCGTTTCGACCTCCATGTCCGATCCATCGTCCGATTGTGAGTCGGGTACGACGGAGCGAAAAGAGGTCGGGTTTGGTTGCACGGAAGGTGCTACGGGCGGGTTCGCGTTAGCGGATGCCGACGCGACGGTGGCTTCTAAGGTCGCGGAGGGCGATGGGATAACGGACGCAGACGGCGCGGGCAATGGCGGCGGCGCGAGTTCAGCTACTTGCCTATGCTCGGCCGCATAGGCAAGATAACGTTCCCACATAGCGGGGCATTCTCTGCGTACGAACTCCTCGAAAAGGGAGCCCATCGCGACGTAAGGGCCTTTGGGGCTTGTAGCCCCGCCGGCGTGTGTGAGCTAAATAAGCGTCCCCACCTTGCGGCAGGGAGGAGTGTGCCTAAAAATAACAGCTAATTTGCCAGCGCTTTAGGTGCGCTAGGATGGGTACCTAGCTGTCGCCTATTGCAACAAGCACACAGTAAATAATAATAAATGAAACAATGCCGCCTCTGAGGCGAGAAGTGTGTGTAGGATTCTACTTACAAAACAGGAACCTGCCAACGAGCACAACACTACACTAACATTAATCTACTGCACTATTTGCACAAGATTTAAATTGCAACCGAGGTTGCGAGTGGCGTCTAATTCGGGTGGCATGTGCCCTCCGTCTTAGCGAGACGTCCGTTCCGTACGAGAGCACGAAGCGGAATGAATATCAATCGTATTTGCATAGAGCTCTAAACAATAACATCACTTCTACATTAAGTTTTAATTTTTGTTTGTTTTATTTTTGGTGTGCCATAAAGTATATTCATTCATTCATTCATTCAACAAATAAATTAGGACTTAAACCTAACAAATCCAAAATGACTTCATACCCCATAGGTACCCATTTTGGTCAAAACTAGTTTTATTCATCATAGATATAATAAGTAGCGAAGCGAAAATATATAACTTCGAAAGACGTGCTGGAAGATGTGAATGTGCTCTGTTAGAAGATGTGTATTCCATTCGGTCCAACTCCGTATAAGACGCAGCTGAAGCAGCCCATCGGATATAAACGCGATTCGGACTCGGTGTGACCGCAATAATGCACGCGATAAGCGGTCCTATCCCCGAGGATAATGTCGCCATGCTCATCTCAGAAATTGTATTAGCATTTAAATTGAAGACTTTGCGCGCTTTGACTCCCGCCTCCGTAACCTCCGCTATCGACGTTCCGTAATCGAACAAAGACCGGAAGAAACTGTTGTCTTCGCTATGAATAAAGTAAATAACAAACCGAACTGTATTGGCCGGCACGCTGCCGAGGCAAGGAATTCAAATTATAGGGAGTTTATACCATCGTCTAAGAAATCTGAAAATAAAACAATGATCAGTTATGAAAACGTCGTTTTGAAACGTCGATTTTAAATTCAATTTATTTTAGAATTATAAATATTGTAGAATAGACCACAACGTAGTTGTACATTTCTTGTAATTGTTTACTTTGTGTTTACCTTATATGATAGTTATACAGACTGGTAATTATGTGAAATTTTGATAGATACAAATCAATGTTTATTGACTCATGAAATTAAGTAGATCGGATTGATCGGATGATCAGAAGTGAAGGATTCAGATAATTCCGTTCTTAGAATACTACAGTTATTCAAGGTATACCTACATAAGTAAGTATAATTAAAAATTTTACCAGAGGACTTATGGTATATCCTAAGTCTAGAAACCCACTATGCCTATTCTGTTCGCACAGAGGAATCATTAACAACAGTGGAACTTATGCGTAGTGCTACTTTAGTAATATTATGGAACGCCTTAAAGGTATTTTGCTATTTCGTTATTTTGCACCATTTAAGCAAGCAAAGAACTATTCCCACATTAAATGTACAAGAGCACGTTTGAGGTCGCGGATTAAAATCTTCAACAATTCGCTTACTAATAAATCGCTGCACTCGCAAAGCAATAACTGTAGATCGTGACAGCAAACAACTCGATGCATTTGGACGCGGAAACGCTCCGAGTGTAATAGCCAGACTGTCATTTAATCGGTACCAAGCGCCCGACAAAGAAAACACATTACCTGCATTGCTTCATAAACGAAACTGCTGAAAAGTCAATTTTATTAAGTTCGGATCTTCTTAATTTGTTTTTATTCTACTTCAAACATAGCACGACTAGCGATCCAGAAATATATCTCTAATAACAAACTTTATATCCTCTGTTCTGTTGACATTCATTAAAACAAATTCAGGTAAAACATCAAGGTAGCTTTCCGTAACTTTCCGTTTGACTTGATCAATTCCAATAACGACAACCTCGCTGAGATTTTTTATATATTACTATTGATCGCCACAAAACTTAACTCTAAACACGCTGTAAATAAATCAGTACACATCTTTCGCGTGATCAAATTTAGATGAATAACTAAACCGTGGCTTAGTTCATGATTTGATTCTACGCCGAATGACCTGACGCATAAACGGCATCCTGAGATTCGTTACACACATTGACATATATATAAAATCAGCAATGCGCATTAAGCGTGATAAATCGCGTGTCAGCGTCACGATTTCCCGCGGTGAATGTTGATAAGCGGTGATATCCTGCGATGCTATCTGGAGCTTCCCCTCTCCCACGTAGTGTCGCGATGCAATCTTTATGGAAGCAGTGCACGCGTTATGACAATTGTCATCCTACACACAATCAACATCCATCAATCTACTATAAGACTCTATCTGTATATACATTTCTTTTCTGCCGCCTTTCATTCTTGAGCAAACTACCTGGGTAAAGACAGCTAAATATTAAATTGCTGGATTTCATCTCCCAGTTTATCCTTTTCACGTTTCGACAAAATTTATAATTGGAAACTCGGAAACGGCTCCAGCGATTTTCATGAAATTTAGTATGTGCGTAGATTCGGGGGCGAAAAATCGATCTAACTAGGTTTCATTTTTAGAAAATGTTGTTTTATCCCACTTTTTAGGGAATGAAAATTATTATTCGAATACGACGGTAAATTTCACCGAAAAAAAACTAAAATATAATTTGACTAAAAAATATTCTTCAAACTTTAAAAACTTTTATGATTTATAGAACAAATTAAGTATAGAGCGACGGCAGTAAGTAAAGCGAAGCGATTACACTACTGCTATATCAAATGCTACTGAATTTGGCATGCTTGTGTAAGAAAAGCCGTTTGAAAAAATGTAAAAATTCTGTATAAATTTTTATTATTTTATAAAATAAAAGAAAATAATGAACTTTGCAGCTCCATTGCAAGATCCATCTAGAATACATTTGCCCGATGACACAACAAATGGTCAGAGATCGTATTTGAATCAATTTCAGGGACCGTGGTCGGTGTTGGTGTCGGTCTGACGAGGGACTGCTCCACGCTGATGGTAGCTCAGTACTTCAAGCGGCGTCGCGAACTGGTCGAGATATTCATCGTGAGTGGCAGCGGCCTCGGCATAGCGGTAATGTCCACCTTCATCAAAGGCGCCATCAGGTACCATCGTGCTACTTCATCCTTTATCAGCACGTAAATAATGTCCGTCATTCTTGTTTCTTGAGTTTAACTTTATGTGGAAGTAACACTTTTATAGTTCTTTATCTCTTATTTTTGTCGTCTGCTAGTAGCTAATAGAAATCTATATGTGAAATCAAAACATTCTTTTCATAAAGAGTTATGTTATTAAAATAATACCTTGCAAGGAAGAAAGTTAAAGTACCTACTTCAACTTTCAAAGGGTCATGCTGTTATACGGGTGTCGATTTTTTCTTCAATTTAATATGAACTTCGATTCCATTTCGACATCGGAAATACGAGTCACTAACAAAATTGAAAAATGTTTTGAGCTTAATAACTCATTTAGAAGACTGCATTAAACACTGGGATAGTAAATTAAATTCTGCTTTTACCATCCCTTTGTAACATTAAATTATTACAAAGATGGTTATTGATGTCTTCTTTAGCATAGTAACAGCATGGTTGACGCCTGTCTACCACTGTACGCTCGTTATAGGGTTAGAGATACTTAATGCGTGCAACGTTCGAAATAACTGCCCCTTAGCCATGGTAGTGTTCGGGGTGAATGCAAGGTCATTAAGATACTTCAAACCTTAGGACTGTACTTTTTGTTTATCTAGTTCTGTAGTATTAACTAATGTATTTTTGTACTATTATAACCCCTTTACGGTTACAACAAAAAACTAGCTTTTTTATACTATTCATATGAAACGGTTCGGCTAAGTGTCAAAAATGTAATCTGTAATATTTTTATAGAGCTATCGGATGGCGACTCGGATTGCAGGCAGTCACGGGAGTAGTCTTTGTAACTTTCATACTAGGCACGTTCTACCGCTCCGCTTCCCTATACCATCCCCAACGTCGTGCCATTCTACATCTTAAGAATCAAAACAAGATCAAGAGGAAAATGAAGGACAAGAACAAATCGGACGACCGGCAACCCTTCTTCGACTTCTCCACGCTGCGATCGAAAACCGTCAGGATCCTATTAATGTCTACCGGCATATCTGCTTTTGGAATCAACACACCGATATTTTACCTGGCATACCACGCGGAAGAAGAAGGCAAGTAATTTAAAGCAATACTGTTGTTTAGTGTCATTAAACTGCTCTCCGGTAAAACATGAGAAACTAATCCTGTTAAAAATATTTTTAATGTTACATCTCTCATCAATCTCTATCTCAAAAATGTCCTTATGTATAGAAATGTTCATAGTGTATCATCATTTTTTTTTTTTTATGTGATAAAATTGCAAACGAGCTGGCGGTTCTACTGACGTTAAGTGATAGCCGCCGCCCATTGAAACCTACAATACCTGTAGGATTGCAGATGCGTTGCCACCTTTTAATAAAGTGGTCCCTGCTATCTCACTCGCCAGACGAAACGCAAAATTATAACACTTCCATTTGACATCAGTCTTCTGCCCATTCGTGCAACAGCGAAGACTGTTGCGTTCCGTAATTCCAAGCAAAAAAATTTAAAGTTATCACTAATTTAATATTAGACATTTTATTTTCAAATATAGGCCGGGGGCAGACCAATCAATCAAAACTTCAACAGACAATCCATCGTGTCTTTACTTAAACTGCGTAAAACGTAAATTACTTTTTAAGCTCTTTTTAATTCTAGAAATTCCAATATGGATCGTGAAATGTACGGAGAAATCGTTAATTTCGAATTTGATCCCCTTCGAAAGATGAATTACAATCTCAGACCTCACGTAAAGAAAGATTATTTGTAAATAATCAACATATATCGTAATGTAGATATGGGTTACAAGGGTCAAAGACTACGACAAAGGCATTTTATTTCCAGATATACAACTATTGATTGGTTCATAGAACATTATCAAGCCATTGGCAGACTGTGGGGGAGTTCTATGTTCAGCAATTGACTCTAACAAAATGAATTGATGATAACTAGTGTTGTACGCATAAATTTTAAGGGCTGGGCGACACTGCGGGACTCTTGCAAGCGTACTTGGGGCTGGCTTGGGCGGTGGGTTGCGCTGCCTTCGGGCTGCTGGTGAGGCAGAACTCGGCTGAGTGCCGCATCGCCCGCCAGTACCTCACTCAGGCGGCCGTTTTCGTCTGCGCGCTGGCGACCATGGCCCTCACGGCGGTCGAAGGGTCGTACAGCGGCTACGTCATGTTCGCCTGGGTCTATGGTAATGCGCGGATTTAGTCAACTACTTATTAAAAAAAACACCAGTATCATTGCGTTTAGAAAATAATCGTTTGTCTTCATATTATATTGTATGTATATAAGTACGTATTTATAAGTTTGTATATGTATATATGCATGTATTTTGTATTTATTTGATTTAGGCATATATTATATATATTACTATTGCATAGTAAACGTTCCTTGATAGCTTGATTGGAAGAGGCGGTATGAAGTGATAAATCCGCCAAATTGTGCGTTCCATAAATTAGTTATATTTGCTATTGTTAATTTTGTGTATTCTTTGATTTGTGATGGATAAAAAAAGTGTTCACTCATTCACAAGAGTGGCTAAATCCGGTTGTCGCTCAGGGAAAATCAGATTTTTTATAAACCTACGAGACGGTAACCGAGGAAGCGATTCACTAAAGAAGGAGACGTATCGTAATACTAACAACGGTGTTGATACCTCGGATAATGCTGGCGTGTTGCCAAAATTGAAAATGTAGAACCTCCTACTCACACGCGGTTTTTGTGTTCATTCGCCAGAAAAAAACGCAAAAATATAAATGCTTCATTTAACGCTGATGTTCTGAGGCTTTGTTAGTTCCCCTCCGATCAAGCTGGCGTACTCGCGCAAAAAGAACTACTATGTACGCTGTCTTTGTATTATTAAGAATAATAATACACCACAGTGTTAAGAGGAGTATCAGAAAAAAAGATTTGAATGATGCAAAGATGAGTAATTCAAATGTTAAATGCTCATAAGCAATTTACCTAAACCCTTCCCCTGTGTTATTTGAGTTTCATTCATTAGTATATACCTATGCGCTCAAGATGAACAGTTTTATTCGTATTGTTTTAAACATAAACATTGCACTTACTGCAGGATATTATTATCCTGTTGTAAGAAATTTTTGCAAAAGTAAATTTCAGATGAGAAACAATTATCTGTTGTTCACACCAATAGTTGTCCCGTTGGGGGAATCGAGCCCACGACCCCAGGCGACAAAGCCAATACCTTACTTACTGCGCCACGAACTAATCTAAGTTATACTAAGATGAGTTCGTAGCGCAGTTACGTTTATACAAATAAATATCAAAAGTTCTCCGATAAAAGTGATCCGCTGCGTCTCCAAGTCACAATCATCCTTTAAAGTTATACATTTCTACATATTAGATTTCTACATATATTTCTTATTCCATGCCAATTTTAACTCGTTTCAGGTATATTTTGCGGTGGTTACCATTACTCTTTGAAAATGTATACGTACGAGAGGGTACGTTCTCGGAACTTTGCGAGAACTTGGGGTTTCGTGCAGTGCTCGCAGGCTGTGCCTATAGCCATCGGAGTACCCCTCTCAGGTACACTACCAATACAATATTTTACACACCCGACCATAAAATATTATGGGCCCGAAAGATATTTAAATCCTACATAATGTCCTATCTAGCTTTTAAAACAATTGGAAGCATCCGTCAAATACGTTTTTCGGATAGCGAGTATGGCACGTCTGTTTCACATGACAAAATCACACATTATACGTCCCACAGCTGTGCAAAGGTGTCCTCGGTTATTAGGGCATAGTCCATTGCAACTAAAAGGGGACACGGACAGCAGTACGAAGTGGTCTCGAGCTGTTGCAACATGGTGAGGCAGTCGGGGAAAGTATATTCTTCTCCGAGGCCTACTCATACGCTGTACTAAGGGACACCGGTGCGTTCCGTAAATCCCGGAGTCCCTCCAAACGTACAGTAGGTGGCTATAATTGGTGCTAGTGGGTACGAACCTCTACGTACTTCATCCTGTCATGTGAGAAATGACGGGGCATCCTTTAAATCCTCGCCCAATCCAATAACCCCCCCCCCCCCCCCCGTCCACCGATACCTCGGATTAGCGGACTTCACACATCTCCGAAATATTTTTTTTGTGGTGGGGCGGTGGTAGGGTTACGCTGCAGCCTCGGTTGTTGCACAAATGGGCAGGCCCGTCCGGGTAAGTACCACGACCTCACAGAAGACCGGCGTTTCGTCTGGTGAGTGAGGTAGCCGGAGCCAAATTTTCAAAAGGTTGTCAACACATCTGTAACCCTCTGCTGGCTGGTGTAGCAGATGTCCATGGGCGGCGGTTTTCACTTAACATCAGGTGAACCGTCTGCCAACTTTTACCATTAAAATAAAATATTATATTTCGAAACTATACAGATTTTCTCACGATGTTTTCCTTCACTGAGTACGTGATAAGTGAGCACTTAAAATTAACTTTAAATTATTTTGCCGGCACCAATGTCATTGGATTTTCACCATTTTCACCGGGATCCAATTCAGGTTACTCGAGTATATTGAATTAAAAGCGAACGCCCGGGAACTGAGTTATCAATAATAACATACTACGAAAGTAACCTTCTAACGGAGTGTTCCACGACCCTCACGCATTTCTTTTCTTTTTTCAGGGTACATTAACGTGGGCTGCGGTGGTAAAGCGGGGTATTACTTCAGCTCTACGTGCTCGCTGATCGGCTCGCTGTCGCTCTTCTGCATTGACCTGCATCGACGCAGCGTCGCGCATAAACACACCAAGTATTGTGTCCACACCTATTTCCCATGTTGTTGAACAGTCGTATACTATGTTTATTTAATCAGTGTTAAAACGATTCCCACAATAAAATAAACCATTCACCTATCTTACTCAACATAATTCATCTATCTTAAAACAAACCAAAATTTTGTATGCTACAATATTTGAATGCATTAATTTATTGTAATGAACCATAACACACACCCATACATAAAAGGCAGAGAAGAGATGATTTTTAAATTTCTCGTTTACTGCAATGTCTGGGTGATTGCTTATTCCGACAGTTCGTTACTTGTAATCGAGCCCAAAATTTCAACGTGTCGGAATTAAAAAAAATACTTTATCAATAGGAAAATTTGGTTTCCAAATTTCATGAGTTGAATGTTACGTATTATGTGATTAACAGAGAAAATGGCGGCACCGCCACATGTGAATCCGCTTGCGGCCAATCACGACGCAGCCGCAGCCGGGAGCGGGAGCCACGGGCTGCCGCAGGTGCTGCCACCGCTTTAGGTGACTATAAAGTGCAACTATCAGCGTAAAGCAATACATAATTATAGACCAAAAAAATCTATTTGTCACTACCTACTGTAAACATTTCAATATAAGTTATATGAAGTCATTAGATATATCCGCGTTCCAGGGCGGTTCTCACCGCTTCCAGCCACCGATTAGCTAATTTCACAGTCGACGGCCATCCGGGTTTTGGTCCGAACCGCGACCTCCATGGCCCTTACATGACACACCATTGTGAAACGCACGCATGAGCACATGCGCGGCCCTACCCACAGCGGAGGGCCCAAACCCGTGGTTTCTGGATAGCCCACCGGTTCTGCGTCAGATGAAGCTTTAATAGTCTCGGGACTGAAATCAAAAACATCAGTTAACAGAAGAACTTTTAATTAATGCTTATAAGTATATTCCTATCTAATTTGGATAAAACCTTAAATTTGGACTGGCTCAGTCTACCTGGCATTTCGTGGCAACTGGTCAGCCGCGCTAGCATCCTGTGGAACTCAATCTGCTTGACTTGATTAAACTTAGTTAAAGTTATAGGATAGGATCGGAAGAAAAAAGGCTATTCTCTCTTTGATCAGTAAAAGAAAGCCTATTCTCAATTTTATAAAATCGGTTTGTGATAAAATTATTACGAGTACTTTTCCATGTGTATGTGGCGAGCTTGGTTTGGTTGTAAATACAAATTGCTCTAGGAGTATAACAACCCTTGGCGTTATAAGTAAATAAAGTTAAAAAAACAAACGCACGACTATCAAGTTCTAGGAGCAGAGTTGGTGGCACCTGGGAGGGCTGGCCGCGACCTCTTGCTGGACGGCATCGGTCCTGGCAGTCTGGGTTCCCCACCGCCCAAAATACCGCCAGAGCTCACATGTATCAGTGAGGAAGGAGGTCTAGATCTAGATCTGGATTTAGACATACCAGAACACCTACTGGAGGATTTGGATTGCGGTGGTGATTGTATCACCAGTTGTAACAAGGTATCTTGTTTTTATTCTTTTTTTTTTATATTAGTAGGTGGCAGGCGAGTTGGCGGTTCACCTGATGTTACATGACAAAGTGGGCGCCGGTTACATGACCCACCTGGCGAAACGCAGAAGAATAACACTTCCACTTCACGTCGTTCTTCTTTGAGGTCGTGGTAGTGCCCCCAGACAGACCTGCCCATTCGTGCAAAAGTGTGGGACAACGCCTTTTCGATGGACTAGTGATCCGGAACGCATTTGCAAGCGCACGGGTATTATAGAGTCAACGGTTATAGTAAATCATTTAATGCAGCATTTTACTTATCGCATTCCCATACAAAAATAAAAATATCGGGCACATATCGGGCGGTTCGACAAGTATTCGAAATTTTACACGTAAAAATAATAAATGATAAAAAAAAAATAATACGGATAATCTTAACCCTAATTAGGTACGTGCTGTTCACCAAATATCTAAGCTTAATAATTAAACGTACCTACATACAGGACATAAAATTGCATTTATTTAAATCACAAAATATTACTCTAATGTGTGGTAAGTTGTGGAGCATTCCTTTTTCCGCAATTTTGATAGCTAATGTGGCATTTTCTTGAAATTCAGACTAAGCCAGGATACAATGGATAAAATATAGAAGAATTGAAGATCCTTATCGTTCTTTGGAGATGACAACTCAGAAAGTCCAATTACAGATAAAAAACCTTAATTTGGGCGTGTTTGAATTGAAATACCAATATTAATTTTGGTATTAATAATTGCTTTTTAATTTGTTTATTTAATTTTTGGTCTAAATAATTGATTTGTCTGATTCTTACCGATAACTTTAATTACTTTTATACAATTTTATTGTTTAAAAAAATAAATTAAAACGGATGCATATTTTTTTAATCGCTAATAGTAAACAAGTAATATGTAAATATACTTACATAAACAAAAAATACACGTAACGTACGCTTTGAGCAAAAGTTAAAATTAACGCTTTCCAATCACAAAACATTCCTTTCTATGCGCTTAACAAGATTGCCTGTTTATATTCCGCCTGCTTTTGCAATGCATTCCGAGCGTTAAAGAATATGCTTAAAGAGAAATAGGCCGCAGCTAAACGACGTCTTACGAAAAGCCGCGCAACATCCATGTTGCGTAAACGCTAATCACATTAGTGGCAGAGTCGTACTATCTATATCTTCACGGCTAAGAACTAGGTGAACGCTTTACGTAATTTTCATTTCCTCAATACGAGAAATGAATGAGTAACGTAATTTCGATGGTCAAAATTTTTACAGATTTAAGTTTTCCACATAAATCAAGGTCAATTCTAATATGAGCTGTTTAGCACAAGTATCATAATTATTTATCTTAGGACCTTTAACCAGTAAAAGAGTATACATTTCTTAAAAAATACAGGAAATACAGATTTTAAATAAGATATCTAATAAAAAAAATGTATACAGATTCGATTATAATGAAGATTAAAAAATATTTAATGACATATTTATATTCCAGCTGATTCTTTAATACGATAATGTTACAGGTGGAGAACTATCTCATGCTGAGCGAGTATGAGAACAATTTAATAGCGGAGCTGCCCAATTTGAACGAGCGTCGTGGTAGGCGGTGGTCGATCGTGGTCGGCAACTCCAACTCTCCACAGGCATCCACCGTCCAAGAGAACCAGTCCACGCCCGAACACCGCAAGAACTCCATCAAATGGAAGAAAAAGTGCCATAACACCAACAACAGACTGATAACAGTGATAAACGAGGCGTCGTTATAAACTTGTAGTGAAATAATTTTGAGACAATAAATAGCTAATAAACGGTTAGTGTACCTACGACCTATTTAACCTCATAATTTATTTGATGTGTGCGATTACTAGCGACAATTATGTATTGTCTAGTATAAGTTATTAAATTATTACCACGAGTTCGGACTTTTCATATTAGGTACCTTTCACCTCTAGCCAGCGGGATAAAATAAAACAGTAGTTACAAGAGTGTAGTTAAATATAATATTCACATTTCGATACAACTAGCGAATAATGCACCGAAAAATATAGTAGTATACAGTAATTATTACCGCTGCGGAATAACTATGTCCTCTATGAACTGGGCGAAACAGCGCATCGCCTGTAACAGCGCCGCAAGGAGTATGGAGAGCGATAAACTGACCAACTTCTGGTTCTCGGATACCACAATTTCATTGTTAGCGACAGGAACTATAGTTTGACCTGATTCTACGCTAATAATGCTCGAGCTATCACAATCAACGCTATACACGTTTGTACCGATGATCTCCTCGCTAAACTTGCTGGATTCGCAAGCGTTGTCGACATCACATGTCAGATCTATCACAATAAATTCAGAATTGATTATTTCATTGTCGTTCAGAATATCCGCCGACTTGTACCCGCTGTACATTTCGTCGTGATCGACGTTCACGTTTTTGTTGATAACATCTTTCGAACAACATGGAATTTCATTCCAACGCACAGCACACTGAGTATCGTTTTTTAGGCACTTCGTTTCGTCCACTGTTCGACTTACACTATGTAAATTATTATTATTGTTGTATACACTCGCGTTGTGAGAATCCTCGTTCTCTTCGGAAGACATACCACTGTCGGTGTTGTCCAACAGGACTTCTTCTTCTGGAGTACGTACATCATTGTCTACTTGATCTAAACTCCCATTAATGTTACCAAATGTACCATAGCTTAAGGTGTTGGAGGCCTTGTCTATGGTACGTGTGACCGTGCCCTGTGCGGGCACGGCCTCTGGTCAAGAGACCTTATCACGAATTATACTCCCCTTTATGACTATCGCATTAGAGAGTATATCCTGTGTCCCAAATATACTGTCTACGTCGGAGAGTGACGCATTATTCAAAGAACAGGCGTCATCTAACAATAATTCGGATCGTAAATCCTGAAATTTTAAAATACATGCAAAAATAAAACAATTACCACAAGTAAAGTGATTATAGCATTATAATAACTGTTATATAAAACCTTACCACGGCAAAATACTTGTATTCCTTTTCGAAGGACATTAAATATAGACAGAAAATAGCTGTTAGTGAATAACTGCATAAGGACGTGATGATAACACACACATGTAAACCACTGGTGCTAGCTACAAAGCAAAAATATCCATCAATTAAAGAAGAAGCTCACATAGTCAATTAAACGCCAAAGATAATCTCATTTACCTTCTGGTAAAAACGATGTTATGGTGCCAAAAATGGCCATTATAATTAATAATAGGAAGCTCACGTTGGTAAAACATTGTCGAAGTGTTAACAAGTTTTTATCATAAAACAGTGTAGAAATATATGTCGTTATGATGCACTGAAAATAAAACAAACATCTGAGTAGACATTTATCAACGAACGGCAAGTGAAGAAACTTGAGCTTAAGGCTATCCACAGTAACCTAAGACGTGAATATTAATCATAATTAGTTTACTTAGAAGACATTCACTGTAAATCCTTGAGCAAATAAAAAAGTAATACATAATAGTATCTTAATTCTCGATTCTTCATTTATATGGTAATTCATTTATAGGTTCACGATTTTAAATAAGTTTATTTACGTAACAATACTGCCTTAATATTTATTAATTAACATAGTCATTCATTCATACTCAATATAGCATGTGCAAAGCAATAAATTACGCATAATTTCGCTGATATGTAATCACTCAATGTAGACAAAATCTAAAAAGTTTGTCCGATATGGAATGTTTGAATAATAATAATAATATACTTTATTGTACACCAAAAAATCAAAATGAAAAAGTCCAAAATCAAAATATTTAACAAAATATTGGTCACCAAAAGGCGACCTTATTGCTACACAGCAATTTCTTCCAGGCAACCTCAAAAATTTACCAAAAGGAATTGTTGATGGGTAGGATGTACATGAAGGAAAATAATAATAGTAAAAAGAAAGTAGCAATTAAAATAATAAGAAAAACATACTTCAAGTGAGTGATCATAGAGTTAAGGGTGAAATTAAAAGGGGTAGAGAGAGACGTTGAAAGAAGAAGACGTTGAAGTTTTAAGTTTGTTTTGCAATTTTTGCTATCTCGTTTTTATGTTGTGTTAATTGTTTTTATGTTGGTAAAAGGTATAATTTTATTAATCACATATTAATGCAACTTGAGAGCCTAAATTGCGCACGCGCGGAAAAATGCAGTATCAACGTTCGTGGCATAAATCGACAGTATCATCAGCAACAAATAACAGTTCTAACTCTAACGAACTCTGCAGCATTGATAGCGGGAGTAGTTTCTTTGTATTTGTAAAAAATAAGGTGCTAAATTTTAAAACGAAACCGTTTCTTTTTTGTACTTGAATATCGTTAAAGCTTGTACTTTACTTATCAATATTATTAGCTATGAAAGACTATAATTTATTATGACGTGGATAACTGATCTGACTACTAAAAACCGCAATCAGTACACTATGAAAGCAGATCAACCAAACTATCATATAATATAACAGAGAATATAATCAGAGAATATAATTGTTTTATTAAACTTTTAAAATGCTATTGTCTGCGTTTAAGATGAAATTAAAAAAATTTTAGAAATATCGACGTTAAGTTAAATCCTAGTATCGGCGAGTATTTTGAATGTGATTTTGATGAAATTTGATGACATTTTATATTAAGTTTGTACCTATATCACAAAGCAAGTATTTTTTTTTTCTTTAAAAAAAACATTGCCCTCACTTTAGGATAACATTATCCTGTATTGTTTAACAAACAAATTTCACGTAGACAAACGCCCAGATACGAAACAACTATCTGTGGGTTGCACTAATAGTTGTCCAGTGTGGGAATCGAACACATGACCCCCGACGCCGAAGCCAATACCATGACAACTTTGCCACGGAGTCATCAAAATCGAAATAAAACTTGGTTTATCATTTTTTTTATCACAGATACAAAGATGTTTGCCAATATAGTTAGAAATTTGCTCAGGAATATTTTACTGTTGTACCACACTTTACTGTGGTAGGACCACACAACTGCTAGGGCTACTGTATGAATTGCTATTTCCTGGTTCCTATATTCAACGAACGGCCATTAGTTACATAACTTCGTAACTTCCATAACAACTCATTGTAAAGACTTCATAATGACTATGTAACTAATGGCTGTTTGTTTAATATAGGAACTGGGCATTAGTAGACAGGCTCATATAGGAAGTACTACAGCCCCACCATAGTAAGTGATGTGGAAGTATTATACTTATGAGTCATCACATGACTGAGGTAACCAGGGCCCACTTTTTACAACATTGGTGGCAAAGATAATTATATTGCCAATATTATAAAATAATTTATGAACACTAGACAATTGCAGCCTCATCCATATTGTAGGTCACTTAACATCAGATGAACCATCAGGTTCATTCTTGTATTGTAGGAAAATTTAGCAATATATTAGCACACAATTATTACAAAGCTTAAAATATTATATATTATACTGACCTGAACCCATAAGTACAAAGTGCCAAAGGCACATATAAATATATTTAGGGCTGTTAAGCAACGATTATCTACCTGCAAAAAAGGAGTAAAGTTGTAATACACATCAATTACTTACAACTTAGTACTAACACTAGTCTTATGACAATGTGAAATGATTTAATTCCCCTTCTGCATCTCATTCTTGTTTGATATACCAGGAAATACTAAATCGCAATTTCAGAAAATCCCTGAAGAATGAGCAACCCATATGATCTATAAATCTGTTTCATGGTGGTATTTAGCAGCTCATAACTGATCTGTTGTCCGGTTTAAGGTTTCCTCATGTTCAGGACAAAATAAATAACAAATGCTAATGGTTGGAATATTAGTGTATAAAACACTACTTTTGTGACCATGTCTTCTATAAAGTATGACAGCTGGAACTAGAATTTAGCAATAGCAATAATACTTTTACTTTTTTGAATCTCATCACACCTTCATGTTTAAATAAATGGATGAAGATGCCTTAAAGCCAACCAAGTTAGTAAATATTTCAGTAATGGTAAATATAAATATAATCTTACCTTAAACATAAATAGTAACAAATATACTAGGAAGCCCAAAGACAAAAATGAGGCCGAAAGAGAAGCAATCCTATTTGCAAAGGAAGTCACATTGGGATTAGGTGTTAGTGAACCTAATACATGAATTTGCTGGTATCTGTCATAAATGATTTTTCCAGCTGCAATAAAATTATTATTAGCACACTGGTTAGTGACATTTTAACTAAAAGGTTGCTGTCATAAAATAGTATAAAGACAATAATTTACGAAATTGACTTTTGTTGATTGTACAGCAATACAATAATAGGAACTGAAATTTACAGCTAACAGCTCTCATCCATAATAGTGGACATATGACATTAAGCAGACAGCCACACTAGAGATCAATTAACATTAAGTTCTTTTATTTGTACATTTAAGTCATAATGACTGTTATTGCGACTCCAATTGACAAATAAATGAATTTAATATTAACTATATACTTATGGAAATCTCGCGAGTATTAATATTTAGGACTGTGACCCTTATAGTCCTTCTAAATATTAATATTCAAAATTGTAATTTCATTCCTGAAATTCCAATAAAAATATACAGTAAAAATATCAAATTTTTATAAATATGTTCAATAAAATTTTGCATATGCTAAATTTTTACTGAAATGGTTAATAATTTAAAATATTGTTTTAACTCTTCCGCATTTGAAAATAAGAGCAAGTAGTTTCAATTTAACATTACGAAACTTAAACGCTAAACAATCTCCTCTCACCTATTGCTCCGCTGGCCACATACAAAAACGCAAGGCCAGTATCAAGAGAGTTCGTTTCTTTTGCAATTTGAAAACAGAGGCTGAAAGAGAAAACTTGAGGATTAATACAAGATAAAATTAAATTAGTAAAGTTACACAATGTTCGTAATATATACAAGCAAAAAAGCTATTTAAAATTAAATCTTTTTTCTGTGAACAGTGAACTTTTATTCTGTTAACATTCTCGTTAGACATTTCTAATAGATCCAATAAAAGGCAGTTGTAGGAAATGTACACTTACGATAAAATGTACGTTGAGGATAATATAATAAATGCACATTTAAAAATCAACATATTAGGAAAATTAATAAAAATTTTATTTTTCTCTTAGAATAAAGATCACAGAATGCATTTGGAATAAGGGAATTCTTAGAATTTATAGTTTTATATGGTGTTTCCGTGTTCCCTGCAAATCACAAAATCACAACACAACACTGATTTGTCATGGCTATGTTTTATTATACAGAGCTACAATTCCACAATGTTATAATCTGAAAAAAGTCCCAGATTAAAAATATTAATACTCTATGGAGCAAAATAATTGTTCGGTACTAATGCCAGCAGTCTGTATGATTCTTATAATTTCTGAAAAAATCGCCTGACTATTTAATTTCCTAAGTAAAATTGCTGGTACTGTTTAATGAATAAGGTATTTTCCTAAAATCGCAATATTCAATCACAAATAATATCAGACAGACTGTCTGCCTATACGAGTAAGCCTGTAAGCCTGTTATAACTACGAAGAAAAGATGACTTGATTATTTTTTATTGCATTGTAAGTTGTAATATATTGTAAGTATTAATTTAACAGTAAAGTATTATTATTGTTCAGTCCGTAGCGATATTAAAGGTCTAACAGCGCACATTATGCTTTACGACGATAGATATCACGCTGCTATGTATTAAAATATACTAATACATTCGAGCCTATCGTTATAACACGTTATCAATATATAACTATTGCGAACACTTATATTTACTAGTTAGCAGCACTGCTGAAAATAACTTGGATTAGGGAAGAAGTAAAGAAAATAATTATATCAACATTTATCCTATAGTATTTGAAACAGTATCGATAATTATCGAGTCAAACATCTATATATTGATATTTTATAATAAAACAAACGAAAAGCTTCTTGCACTTCGCTTATTTTCGTTCGTATATTAAATTAAAAATATAGATTAACCCTTTCAAAATGTCTCGAAGTTAATACGAATTCGCTACTTTAAAATAAATATTGAATTTATATTTATCGAGATTAAAAATATCGACGATATAACTCCATGGTTTTTAAGAAAATTGCGTTACTTCCAAATGTCAATATTTTTAACACATCCCTAACGTGAAGCCCGCCAATTTTTGTTTTTGACATTTCTTTAATGTTTATTGTGTAATGTAATGTGTATTAATGTATTTTAATGTCTAACTAACGCAATTTCAAGCGGAATATTTGAATAGTTTATGTGATCCTCTTTTGTGTTTAAAAAATATGTCCTCATTACAGCCCATCCACGCTTTAAATTTAGGTAAATCAAGACATATTTAAATTTGTGTCTTCTTATAATATATAAAAATACACTATCAAAATAAATAGAGAAGAGAGAAGAGAGTGAGTAACTCATAGATATCGAAAACTTCACTGATTGGTTATCACTTTTTTTTTTATAGTGGTTGCCGATAAAATGCATCCTAATAAAATAAAAAAAATAAAATACATCCTTAACAAAAATTAGTTGTTCCTGTAAACTATATAGCATATATTTTCGAGCTTTTCTTGCTTACAACTTATTTGTTATACTAATTACATGTTGATACTAAATATTTGTTGATACTAAGATTATGTTTGATGTTTAGTATTGTGGTAAATATACTGGGCTCTTAGAAAGAATGTTCAAATAAAAAAAAGGAACACATGTATAAAAAAATGTTGGTAGCATTCAAGACAGAGGGGTAATAATAGAGATCCTACTTGAATTGCTTTCAATTAAAGTGTAAATGAGATATCTTTGCAGACTCATAAGTGAAAAGCATGAATATTTATGTGTATCAAAAATACACTTGTGTATTACATATTGCTTTTCTATTTTTGAGAATTTCAATGTAGAAAGTCTTGCATAGAAATTGTGATGTATAATTTACACATGCGCTTCCAAATTTGTACGGATAGAATTATAGGTTCTTTATAAAAATTTGCAAAGCATAATATTTTAATAACTTTATTAAGATTCTATACAAGGACTTACATTTAAAACCATTATAATTCAAACTACACTGTTAACACTTACAAAACTTTTGATAATAATTAAACACAATTCAAAAATACAGATTCTTTAATAACCCATATTTTGTATTATTGTTTTTGATTTAATTAATAACTTAAAACCTGTTTTGAGCTATTTAATTTTTACATTAGGATAATATTTATATACAATGCTTATTTCATTTCAGATTCAGTTCAACAACGAGCATTCATAAAATACTACAACTCCCTTCCAGAGGTCTGTAATTACTTCATTATTTTGTTCACACACATACAAAATTATTGAGATAAACATATAATTTACACACATCATGGTTACACTAGACATGAAACATTTACAAATTACTTAAATGGTATAGATTGTGCCAAATTTGAAGAGGTTGTGTGCTGCACAGTAAACAAAAAATTAATTGTGTGCAGGTGTGGATGCACACTACTTCTTATATTCCACTATATCTCTGTGTAATTGTGTGATTGTGAGTGTGGTGTATTCATATGCGCATGGCTATAAGCCATATAGTATCCATCTGCTTAAGTACAGTCTCACTGAAAGTTGTTTTTGTGGTTGGTTATTATTTGTTTGCTAAACTTTTTGTTTTAGTTTTCTCAACAAGTTTTAAAATGTTTGTTAATTCATTGATAACATCACATCCTTTATGTTTAATCAAGGAATCTACTAATAAACTATTTAACTAATTATCTTGAACTATCTTGCCCAAATGTAATTATTTACATATTTCTACTAATATTACCACAATTTTAGTTAGAAAAAAATATAACTGTAAAAACTTATCAGTTTTATATTTGTTTAAATGTATTTTGGTCGAAAGATCATTAGATTTAAAATTATTTGCTATTGATGCTGCTCTAAATTTAAGTTAAAGTTCTGTACCAGTGCAAGACTGCACTTGCATTAATTGCCATTAAGTTAAGCGCGGCCTAGACATATTTCTAATAGTAAAATAAAGGCAATTTTTATTCATTGTCACAAACCTAAAGGTTGTATTAGTTGTGACTAGGCATAGGTTGCTTTTTATAAGTCGTAAATATGTTTATTTCAATAATATAATTAGCTTATTTTGTACCAAACCATGAATAAATTTTATTTTTAGCATTTGATAGTTTATTACCTACTTTCTTCCAAAATCCAGGCTTTTCTGTTTCTAGTTCTATTTGTGGAGATGATGAGGTCTCCTTATTCATGTTTTGAACTACTGAATGTTCACTTTTCATAGTAGGCAATTGGTCATTTTGGTTTTCCTGATTTTTTCCAGAATTTTCATAGACATCTCTTAAATTTGATAGTTGATTATTTTCTTTCTCATCTAAGTTAAGTAAATCAGGTTCATGTAAAAAATTGTTTATGTGTACATTTTGCTGCTCGTTTTCTAATCTATGTTGTTGTTGTTCATTAGAATACTGTCTTAAATTTGGATTTTGATGGTAATTTGCCTGTTCAAAATTATCTTCAGGTGGCAGCGACGACTGAATTTGCTGTCCAAAATCTTTTACCTCACCTTTTTCTAATTCTTGTTGGCCAAAATCTTCCAAGTCACTTGTTTCGAATTCTTGAGTTTGTTGGCCAAAATCGTCAAATTGGTGTTCCATGTTTTGTTCTTCTACTGGTGATGTCTCAATATCTTTATGTTTTTGAGTTAATTCTTTGTTTACACTGGTTTGAGTGTAAGGGAAATCATTATTTCTTGACCGCTGGAAATAATCGCTATATTTATCTGTGGTGCTTGATGTCTTTTTCAATATCTGATCATTTTCTTCCATTATTAAGTTACGCCTTAATTGTTCTACAAACTGTTGTTCCTCTGGACTTAAAACATTTTGTGAGTTAGGCTTTTCTCTATTGTTTTCCAAGCCTAAATTAGGTGATGTATCTTGTTTTTGTTGGCCAAAATCTTCTAACTGACTTCTTTCAAGTTCTTGTGTTTGTTGGGCAAAATTTTCAAAATCACTTTTTTCGTATTCTTGAGTTAGTTGGCCAAAACCGTCAAATTGGTGATCCATATTTTTTTCTTCTGGGGAAGTCTCAATATCTGTGTGTTTTTCAGTTAATTCTTTGCTTATACTAGTTTCAGTGTAAGGGAAATCATTACTCGTTGGTTTAGGTGTTGTGTTTGATATAAATTTAATTATGTGATCATTTGGCTTCATTGTTAAATTACGTCTTAATTCTTCTATAAAGTTTTTTTCTCCTTGATTTAAAACATATTGTGAGTCAGTCTCTTCATTATGAATTTCTACACCTATACTAGTTGATGTTTCTTGAAAATTCTGGGTTAAACTTAAAGCTTCTATTTCTTGTGGTGTTTTATATGGTTGGTTTATGTGAGTTATATCCGAAGTATATGAAATTGAGTTAGTGTCTTCGGGACCAATGTCCCCACGTCCTACATCATTTGGTTGTCTATTACCAGTAATTGAAGGGAGGTCTGATTCTGTTGATGTAAGTATTTCATTATGAAGTTCAATATTGTGTGGCAAATTATTCACATGTGATTCATTCGCGTTTTGTCCCAGCGTCAAATTTCGTGATTCCTGATCTTTAGTTTTGTGTGTGATGTCATCATCATTTACATTCGTAAGTGTCTTCTCAGCAATACCATCAAGTTTATCCCACAGACCACCCAGAGATGTTTCAGTTTCTGAGTTTTGATCTGTTTCTGTGTGTCCTTGTAAATTATGATAATAATTATGGTTGTTATAATAATTAGAAAAAGTATTTGTAACATCAGAATTATCATTCAAATTCCACTTAGGCATTAGTGGATTTTTAAAATTGTCATAGTACCCAGTATCAATTCTCTGAGAAGCAGAATTAGTTATAAAGTCTCCATTCATGTAATTTTTGTTTTGTGCAGAACTTAAGATTTGCAGCATGTTTACAATATCTTTATTAATATTTTCTACTGTACTATATGTCGGATTGTGTCTATTTACATCTGTGTTTTGACTTTGATAGCTTTCATCGTTATTTTGTGGAAAATTAGCCCAAAAACTGGGAGTTAATTCTTTCTGCTTGTTTTCCCTATTCCAAAAATCTTGCGATTGTGGATAATAGTTATGAAAGGTCTCGACTTTAGGTTTTTCAAATCCATGGGCCTGTGTTTGCTGATCCAGATTGCCTATTTTGAATTAAAAATTTTATTTAAAAGGTTTAATTATTACATTTTGTTAATAATATTTGTTTGTATTTGATATTATGTAAGGTATATTTAATCTACAAGGAAAAGTATCGGCTCATACATAGATTTATTTAGTTCTTTGGCCATGTATAACATGTTATTATGTTATTTTTGTATTTTAAAATTGCAGATGCAGTGTAGTAAATTATTTAGAATTACATTTATTTACTTGTTTTCTAATAAAAATAGTTTCATTAGATACTATAAATATAAATATTTCTGAGTATTATTTATACTTACTTTGTGTATTTTGGTTGAGATCAGCTATTTGGTCCCAAGTATTCTGACTTTGTTGTTGTGTGTACTCGGGTTGTGCTTGCTTTCTTAGGTCATCTAAGTTCTCCCATTTACTTTGAGCTTGTTGTCCTAAATCTTCCAACTTGTCAAACTGATCCTGTGTTTGTTGTCCTAAGTCTTGCATGTTATTCCATTGGCTTTGTTGTTCTTGCCCCAAGTCTTTCAGGTTATCGAATTTTTCCTGTTCCTGTTGACCTAATTCTTGTATGTTATTCCACTGGCTTTGGCTTTGTTGGCCAAAATCTTCTATTTTGTTGAACTTTTCCTGATTCTGTTGTCCTAAATCTTGTAAATTGTCCCATTGGGCCTGGGTTTGCTGTCCAAGTTCCTCTTGATCCTGGTTAAAATTTTGATACGCTTCAAACTGTTGTTCTTGAATCGGATCGTACGAACGGGCAACTCGAACGTGCCCATCTTCATCACAATCACAATCAACTCCGTTTTGCAAATAACTCTGGTGGGCTTGTTTATATTGGGATCCATACTGATGTGATGCATATGCACCATGGTTCAATGATGCTGCGGTTAACTTTTGAGATGTTTGACCATCCAGAGCTCCGCCTACTAGTTGTATTACGTATGGATCACCTTGTCTTTCCCATGATTTGTGGTATGCATAGGAAGAATGATAACTTTTCGGTTTCGTATTCAACAGTGCGACCAGATTGGCGGAATCAGCCCCAACTGCAGCGCCATTAGCATTTGATGCGTGCGAGCCACTGTTATATCCACTTGAAGATAATGCAGAACCACTGCTTTGCTGAGCATTGAAACCCGCTTGGTACCTCGAGTGACTTGATGCAGCTGATTTAGTATTAGCAGCAAACGCAGTGTTACTTGCTCGGGAGTTGTAAGAATTTACGCTCTTTTGTTGGCTATTTTCTAATTGTGATGCTTGGCTTTCGCCTAATATCTCGCTTTGAGCGGGAAAGGGATTTACTGTTGGTATTGCGTCGACCGATATAGGCTGTGTATTATGTTTCTCCCATTCCTTGCGATAGCTATAAGAAGATTCATAATGCTTTGGGGCGTTCACAGCTCCGTTGTTCAATTGCTGTTCACTGGTGCTTAGTAATTCTGCGTCTGTGTTGGCTCCGCGATCTAAGGTCGAAGTGGCGTGCCTCGCGTCGTAAGTCTGCGCTGTAAGTGGGACCGTTACTCTTGTGCCGGGTCTTACAACTACCCTTACGGGTGTAGCGCTTGAGATTTGGCTACGAGTATTCAGTCCATACAAACCGGAGTATCTTGAGTTCGCGTTTTGGTCGTAAGCATGGTGACTTTTAAAGCCTACATTCGAATAATGAGCTGCCTGGTTTCCGTAATCGTACTCGTGGGCACTATGCAAACTGTCTGCAGACTGCAAATTGTCCGCAGACTGCAAACTGTCCGATGACTGCAAATTATCGGCCGATTGTAATTGATCCACGGATTGCAAATTGTCGGCCTGCATGAATTGCTGAGAATGCCCTCCAGCTTGGTATCTTCTGTAACCGGCAGTATGGGCTCGGCTATTACTGTATGCGGCACTGTTTGCTAACGACTGGCTTCGGTACCCAGCACTATGCGACAGACTGGAGGAATGTGACAACTCGTCGCCGAACGCTTCTGTTTCTTCGAAGTTTCGACCTTGTAGATTGCTCAAATCATAGTTACCAGAGCCATAGATACCTCTTGAATTGGCCGCGGTGTACACGCTTCCAGTTCTAGTTTTATATCCATCCCCCAGTTCGCCGTCGATCTGACGCACTAGTCCACTCATTTGGTGTTGTGCCAATCCGTCCATGTTGTGAGCTTTCTCATAATTCCCCCCCATATTTCCCCGTTGCGCGCCATAGAAACCGGATTTGCTGCCTTCATCGGATGAACTTCTGGAGTATTGGAAGTCTTCTTTTTCTTTGTACAGTTCCGGCTTGGCTAAGACCAAAGCCGAGAGTGCGGCCGCAATGAGAATACGTCTCATTTTGAATCGCACCACCTGTAAACAAACCCAGCATTGTATACGATATAGTTAGTGTGTGTAAGGGATTTTTAGGTCGTTGAAACAACTGCGAAAAGAAATCCTAAATTGTATCACCTGCTATGGTAAATTTAAATAGCTACTTCGTTAGCATCAGCACTGAGTTAGACCTGAGTCAATCCGAAATAATAAATTTATTATTATTCAACTTTTTAAAGAAAAGTAATACCCTATATACATATACTATTGGGCAAAGGTCCTTCTAGGGCATAATCCAAAATGCGACTTAACCGCGTATTGACGCTTTTAATTCAATATGCCTACCCGAGCAACTGCACTTAAAGTTGCATCTAGCAACTTGCTACTTGCAACTTTCAGTGCTAATTTTGACATGTGCTGAGCGGCGAAGGAAAACATCGAAACGATGAGATCGAGCGAAGGAAACCTATATATTTCGAAGATATGTGAAACAGGCCTACATATTAATATATTGTTGTAAATTAAATTTGTTGGATAGTAACTAGGAAATGAACTTGAAATAACTAGAAACTTGGAAATGATGTTGTCTTTTTTAGTATTACTTTTAATAAAATTATTAAAATAATTAAATCATTCTGTATCACAAACGAGCAAGCTCTTCCTGGGACGTACCAGAACCACACAAAAGATTGACGTAAAATATTTGGTCTGGTGAGTGAGGTAACCACACCCAATCTTTGAAACTTTGCCAACGCAATTGCTACCCTGATGCACCCCATGATGTTGCAGATACCATAAGCAGCCGTAATCACTTTACATCGGATGAATCGTCTGTTCCCTTGGTGGCAACATGTTGATAATGTTCTGAAATTCTAAAAAAAAAAACTTACGTCACAATATCTGCACTGCACTGTATGTTAAACTTAATATTTCCGACTATCACGCCACAGTGGTAGCGCTACACTGACATTGCCTGGACAGGAGACGCCAATTTATTGTTTAAATTCTGTATCGCGGGCAAGATAACCCTTGGCGGGTCGTGACTGATTCGCGTTCTCAGAAGTGAGGGAACGCAATATACGACAGATACCTAATTCGCCATCGCGCCAATCCTTGACACAACTGAGGACATAGCTATTTGCACTTATGATCGATACCTGAATCATCCGGCTCGACTACGAAATCTCGACCGTTGTATTTTGTTTTCCTAATGATTCAGTAATATGACTTCATCAGTGTTGTGGTGCTATGCAATATATTTGATAATGTGAAAAATATTTGATATTTGGGTGCATTTGAAATTGCACTATTCAGTATTAACCTATCGTTTACGTAAGTAGTGCCCACAAATGAAGTTCTTTACTTTTATTTCAGTAATGAATATCTCGTATAATAAAAACAAGTACGCATATAAAAACTAATTTCGCTATCTTCACTCAAGCTATAATTCAAGCTAATATTTCATTATATTTTATTGAGATTGTAATGAAATCATTCTTATGTTAATGTTTTTATAAGTATACATCTTATTTAAATACTAATTTACACCCGTGAGCTGGTTTCTGTGGATGTAATAACGGATTAAAAGTAAAAATTATTCATTATTTTTTATTCATATCTTCTGAACCAGTTTTTTTATTGCGTAGAAAATGTTCAAAATACCTATTTCCATTAATACTCCCGCTGGGAAGAAAAAGACTTTAAAGTACGACAAAAATCAATTTTTTTTAGTTCGGCTAGTGCTTAAAGATGTCTATAGTCGGCTCCCCGAATATTGCCTATTAAAAGCAATTGGTTCAATTTTCGCAGCCCTATAGGTAATTATTTGACTTAAACTAATATAAAACTACTTCTTCCTCGTTCCAGTTCCTGATCGCACTGGTTCCTCGAACCGGAAGCGATTCATGGACAGCCCAATACTTGTTACCGCCCACTGCTCCTTTCACAGCATCAGACCATCTTGCAGGCCGCCCTGCCCTGAGCACGTTTGCTATCTATTTGGCCCAATATAATGAGCCTCTCCAGATCACGTCGCGACGAACGCATAATGTGACCGAAGAAGCTAAGGCTCATTCTTGACGTATTAAATTTACTTGGCGTATTTTATGAAAACTACTAGGTTATTATTAAATACAAACTAAATATTTATATAACTGACGGTTCATTAAAATAGCATATAAAACTGAAACTACTATCACCAGGACGTAATTAGTATCAAATAATTAATTAATATAAATAAAAATTAATCATGTATGTCTGTTGTATATCTTAATATTTTTTTATTTTGTTTTTTAGTATTTATTTTTATAGCCGCACCAGAAATATATCATCTGTGAAAATTTCAATGTGTAACAATCACGGCTCATTAGATACAGCCTGATGTCAGATAGACGGACGGACAGATAGACAGACAGCGGAGTCTTAGTAATAGGGTCCCGTTTTACCCTTTGGGACCCCAAAAAGTAACGTAAAGAAAAAAGACTATATGTGTCCCACTGCTGGGCAAAGGACTGTGACCCCCCAATTTTCCAAACTTCCCATATTTTCGAAATAATTTCTTTATTACTATTTTTACATCTGGATTTTCTAACAATGTTTTCCTTAACTACTGATTACAGCCTAAGTCAGTACTTAAAATTGCAGTAGTAAAAAATTGATTCGTGCCGGGATTTGAACCCGGGTTACTCGAGTATATTGAATATATTGTATAGCAAGTATATTGTATAGCGAGCGCACGGACATTGAGGTATCACGCCTCTTGAGGTATTAGACAAAGTTATATTTATTTATATTGCTAAGGACCTCGTAAGGCTCAGCTGTAATGTAACCGACGTGAATCCTGTATTTATTAGTCCCTCATTTTATTTAGAAAATTCATAAGGCCCTCTGAGATCGGCGTTGTAATAAAAACACGAAATATGTTATCTTCTCTTAATGTTCAAAAACAACATTGTTTTGCATTTAATAGGAAAAATATAATATTAATAATACATGGTCATTCTCTACTTATTGTAGAGAATGACCATGTATTATTAATAAATATGTCATACAGGTGATCTACTCTAAACATACGGATATTTTTATAAGCAGAACATTCTGCATATTTTTATAAACAAAATAGAAAAGTGTCATCAAGGCGATGGATAAATCATGTTTATCGCTTTTGTTATAATTTTATGAAAGCTTTATTACTGTTAAGTGACATATTTTATGTTATAGATAACACGGTTGTAATAATGACCATGTTCAAAAGTAGGACACAATTACAAGGGCAGAGGAAAAAAAAAATATACACAGTTTAAAGTCCTTGAACTGTCTTACTTTCTGCAATGTTATGATTAGGAAGAGGCACATCATTTTAATCAGTTTCAGCTGGGTCCCAAAGTTAACTCTTGACGAGTTGTACCTTAAGTGTCGATTGAACAATTCGCATTGAATAAGTACGAGTAATATATTGACATAATGAACTTCAACACATAACTGCATTTTTCCTTTTAATTGTCACCAGTATTTTATAGCTTTCTTTTGATATATAATTTTGATGGATGTAACTACTGTAAATGTAACATCAATAAATCACACATTTGTTCTCTATAAGACAGTAATTAAAGGAACAACTGTAACGCTTATGTTCCTGTTTTTCTCCAATAAAGTAAATAAATTATCGTTATATTTCAACAAATTACCATTATCGTTGAATCACTCTCTATCTTATATTGAATCCGTTGGTTGATTAAAAGATCTAAGCGTACAGAGGTACGGGCAGAAAGACTTTATTTTATATTATGTAGAGATAAAATCTAAACAATTTAATCGAGGGGTTAAATAATTGTTAGTCTATAAAGTAATTGTTATCTCGGGATTTAACTCAATGTCAACGTAAGGCAGACACATAAAACGTAAAATAAATAATATATTATTTAAAACAAAATCACCCAACATTGATGTTTTGTTTTGAGTTACAAGATAAAGGTGGATCTCAGATATATGTAATAACAATAATTTGAATCCGCGTGTGCGCTCCCAATTTTCACGTTATATGCGAAATGGATAAGTTATCTAGTTTGGTTTCATATATTTAAAAAAACTGGATAGTTTTTGTTTAGATTTTTCAACCGACCTCAAATGGGAGAAGGTTCTCAATTTGAATGTATTTTTTTTTATTACCTCATAACTCTGTACTGAGTGGACAGATTTTGATGATTCTTTTTATTTGAAAGCTGGTGTTTCCCATGTGGTCCCATTTAAATTTCATTGGTATTGGATCTAGGGCTTCGGATATGCTTAGGGAACTGAAAATCAATTATAAAATGAATTCAGACCGAGATATTTGAAGTCGGTTTAGATTTTCGTTAATAAAAAAGGACTTGTTCGAAATTTACTCCAAGGCATTATATGATAGTATGTGGGGTGAAGGTAGCTAGTTTAGTGAGTTGTGTACAAGTGTGGAAATCGACCCCCGAAGAAAATAGTTTAGAAAGTATCCTAACATGCGTTGTATGATATGGTTGTATACACCGTATGTACGGTGGTAGGGCAGCAACCTCGGCTGTAGCACGAATGGGCATTCTCGTCCGGCCTCAAGTAGAAGTATAATACTTTCGCGTTTCGTCTGGTGAGTGAGGTAGCAGGAGCCCAATTTTCAAAAGGTTGTCAATGCATCTGCAACCTCGGGTGTGGCAGATGTCCATGGGTAGCGGTATTCACTTAACATTAGGTGAACCGCCTGCTAGCTTAGCAAATTTTCACATTAAAAAAAATTAATGACTTTATTAATTTTAATCCTCTGCATCGCTCCTGTGATTTTTTTCTAATAATTCGCAATATCAAGAAGGGTAAAGCATACTCTTTATGGTTGCAAGATACACTAGGATGCTTGTTGCACGATACACTAGCATTCTGTATACACATGTAAATATAAATTTCTTACAGAAACCACCAACAACAGTAAGGATCTTCGATCGGAATGAATACTACAGCGTCCACGGCGAGGACGCAACTACGGCAGCTAGAGAGGTATTTTCCTCCGTATCCAACATCAAGAAAATGGGCTTAGAACCGGACCGACTCGACTATCTCGTCCTCTCCAAAGGAAATTTCGAGATACTTATAAGAAAGTTGTTACTGGTAATTCCTTGTTTTATTCATACATAAATGCATGCTAACGATATTTCTTTCCATTCCTTTTTAAGATAACATCTATAACATATTTTGCAAGAAAGCAGGATCGAACAAAGGTCCCTTTGTAACATATACATAGGGACCTATGTACGATTCAGCTCGTAAGTTCAACTGACTTCCCAGTAATATTAATATTAGTCTAGTGAGTTAACGCGTCTGCAGCCAAGTTGTAGTTGTCCATGGGCAGTTAACACTTAACATGAAGTCCTTGGACCTAATAAAAGAAAAAGTACGTTTTGCGTAAATGATGCTATCGAGAATATCGGTCGCGTAAAGAATTTTACTCAAAATCTTCTAGTTTTAGATTGCAAATCTAAAGAAACTAAGCTGCCAACGTAAGCTTATATGTATGTATTTGATAGGATTTTTTAATTACAAAGTGAAAGTTATATTACAAAGTTTTATATTACAAATCTTCAAGAATATTTAATGAGGTATTTCAAACAAGGTTGATTTGTAATGTCTTTACTATTTAAGGAAACAGCTGCAGTAGATCATTCTGGAAATCCTCCATCTGTGGTTACTGTGATGTCATTTTTAAATTTTGTTTACTGCGATAAATACTGTCAATATTTGAGTTGTGTAATGGTTCTTAGCATAGAAGGTGGTTAAAGGTAAACACGAAGACTCTTATTTCACAAATTTAATGAATGTTTACATGAACAATTTGATTTTTGCGACCGTTTTTTAACTACATACAGCGTAGATAGACAATAAATTAATATGGCCGGGGCGGGCACTATACTACGATGGCGTTTGCGACGCGAAACGAATCCCGACGATGTTAGCCGAAGCGCGCGTAAATTCGAAAAACTGTAGATGTCGGTGCATTGAAGGAGAATATATTTATTTGTAATAATGTACTCAACTCGTTACAGTTGTTAATTAAACTTATTAAAACGAGAACTTAGCTTATTTTATTTGTTGACCTTTTTACAAATAATGGCTTCCTCTTCATGGCTTCGTATTGGTGGAAAAATCAAAATGAAGTCAACTTTTCGGTATAATAAACGCCGCACATTTAATAATTGTTTTTTTTTTTAAATAAGCCTTTTTAAAAAATGTGGGCCTAGTCGTGTTTTTAAATGTATAATCGTTTGCAACTCTATACGATACTTAAAAAAACTTAATAATATAATTGTTTTGTTTATATATAACTTGTTCTCCAATTTTTTTCGTTTCTGTCATATAACATAAAGTTTATAATTTTAAATTATAACACTGCACGTTGCTATAAGGCTCTTAATTTACGTAACATACGTCTTATATTAGTAAGGGTTCTTAATGATAAGGAAATATTTTTGAAGAAGATTCTATTGTCCTCGACTATCGACAAATATAACGCTGAAGTGCCACATATCCTTGCATTATAACTTTATAACCGTAGCTATTTGAATGCATATAATACAGAAAGTTTAATAAATAAATTGCAAAATTGGCCAAATGCGTAACTATCACATTTAATGCCTATAAGGTCTTAAATATTTCCAGGTCAGGCGTTACAGAGTTGAGATCTACGTGCCAGAAGGTTCGTCGAAGAATAGCGAATGGCGATTGGAATATAAAGGATCCCCTGGAAACCTATCGCAGTTGGAGGAGGCTCTCGGTGAGGGTCTGGGTACCGCTAATAATAGCGCTCCATGTTTGATGGCGGTCAATTTCAAAACGGACGCCGTGACAAAGGTAAATATTAACTAAAGACTTAAATAAATACGACACATTTATTTTTTAACAGTTATATGCAACTCTTTTTGTTAATTTGAGGGATAATAAAAGAACTTACTAAACTATGAAAATGCGATGCGCACTTAAGAATGTACATCCCTTTCTTTATTCTCATCGGATTTTCATTATTTGACAACAATCAACATTTAGTCAAATTGTCTTTTCAACCGCCAATCGTTCGTAATTTTTACGTTTGTTTTTCATTTGAACTTTAAATCAAGAATCTTCGTATCGTTAGGAACGTTTCAACATATAAAGACATTATATGACGATAACACTCAATCAATAAAAGTCGAGAGCTACTTTAGATTGTGAATAATAGAAGAAATATTATGACGATATGCTTTCAAAAACCATGCTATTCATCCTAAAAAATAAAAAGCTCTCTAAAAATGTTAAGCTTTTTATTTAAATCTTTATTTATAAACTTCAATGTTTATGCATGTAGGTATCCCATTTCAGTTGAAATGAGATAGCGCTGGCGAGTTTACGTTATGTTATCTAAACTTGACCGTGACGTTATATTATTTCTCGTCGGCCGATGGATTCTGAGGTTTATCTAATTGTGCACGCCCAGATAATTAATTCTAGAACATTACACGCACACGAAGTGACGCGATTGCGTAGCGGCTTATTTTATAAGACGTTGCAACATGGACGGACTTTCATCTTGATTATAATTCGAAACTCTAAGAGTAGCTATTCTGGATTTGGAAAGCCGCGCCATCAGCATTGCCCGTGACATTTTAGTAAAGTCGCGAATTTTGTCATTCGGTTTTTAGGTATAGTTTTAACTGAACACAATTCCGATTTTTGCATTCGACTGTACATGCGCAGGGCTCGGATACAATTTCACTTAGGCGACCAAGTGGTGCTGGTGTTTAGAATGTGCATGACAGCATAGTTGTGGCCTTAATGCCCCGTGTTAATCATCATAGTCACATAACATAGAACATAGGCCTCCTCATAAGCTGCTTCTTGCACGATCCTGGGCCCCGCACATTTGCACAGGTCGTCACTCCACCTAGTGAGGGTTCGTCCTATTCGAGATGACCAGTACGAACCTTTCTTCCCCATCGGCCATCGCCGTATTAGTGCGGCGCGCTTGAGTACGCTAACTCTGAAGACTATATCTTTATGGGTTAGTCTCTGGGATTCGCCCGCAGTGCGGACTCGAAGTGGTCAAGTATTGTAGGCGGGGGTGGAGGCTTGCTCCCAGCGAGTGGCTGTTTATGCGATCAAATGCCGGCTGGGTGGCGGATGTGTGCGAAAGCGTTTTCGTACTCAAATATGTATACGCCCTAATATAAATAGTGAATGGGGCCTAATATAAATGCGATCTTACCCCTGCGAGGGAATTACCCCCACGTCCTTACTAATATAATAATGGCGAAAGTTTGTATGTATGGATAGATGTTTGTTACTCTTTCACGCAAATTCTACTGAATGGATTTTAATGAAACTTTACAATAATATAGCTTATACATCAGAATAAAACATAGGCTATAATTTATATGTCTTTCTATCTGAATGTTACGTCTTCAGCCTATTCTACGCGGACCTAGCCGCGGGCAGCAGCTAGTACATAAATAAGGCCGAGACAATTGTCTCTTTGACCTTTGTGTTTTGTGATTTGTGCGGAAGGGGTTGGTAAGCCCCAACGAACACTGCGACTTATATCTATTGTAGCCTCTCTCGTTATGGGTTGCTCTCGGAGTGATCTACAGCACATCGATTCGCCCGTAGGGAAGGCTGTTGGGCGTCGCGTGCTTAACCGCCGCCGAATATCAGTTCTGCGTTTCGGAGTTTACGGACGACGACCTGCTGACTGAGCTGGAGACCATCACCGTGCAGATGGCGCCTACGGAGTGCCTCGTTGTGCAAGGAGACAACGAAGACGTGAGTTAATATCGGTTGCGGTGGCGATATTCCACGTGAAAAGCCGACAAACGAGCTGTTACTGTTTTTTTATTTTTTATTTTAACAAAGTAACTCTACAGACTCGTGGTCCGTACTCTTTTTTTTGGTTAACATGTTTTTTTTTTTTTTTTAATTTTCTTTTTGGGCTGTCACCGCCGCGTACATCAACCGGGCTGGTAGCGGTGCGGCAGTGAGTTCATATTTATATATATATATATATTTTTTTTTTATTATTATTATTATTATTTCATACATATATATATAAAATAATATAATATGATTAATATATATATATATATTTGATCTGAGCTGTTACTGTTGTAACCGAGGGCGGTAACTGTTATAGGGCCGCGCAACAGTACGCTGTTGCACGAATGGGCAGGTCCGTATTGGGAGTGTTGTACTTATGCGTTTCGTCTGGTGAGTGATGTAGCCGGGGCCCTCTTTAGTAAAGGTTGCAACGCATTTGCAGCCCTATGGGTGTTGCAAATGTCCATGGGGGGCGGTTATCACTTAACGTTAGGTGAGCCGGCAGCTCGCTTGCGACATTCTCACATAAAAAGAAGGCGGTAGACGATGTTAAGTCAAGACGATTTTTGCATATAGGTTTGTTTCAGGCTTTTCTTGAACTTCAAAACTACCACCGGTTCACTAATTAGATATGTCCGGAAGCTACAAGAAACACTGCGGTTTTGTTATCTGTTGGTGATTACCGCCGCTCTCAGGCATCTACAACACATGACAGGTTGCAAAGGTACCCAACCATTGAAAAGCTGGGCAACGGTCACCTAACTCACTAGACGCGATAGAAGTATAACACTTTCCCTTCAAACCAAAGTATTTTATGTCCCATCTAGCACATTTACCATTATTTATATTTACACGCAAAACCATTGCGATCGTAACCTCCATGGCTCGGAATCATTGACAGTATTGATAAAGTAATACCCACAACTCATCTGTGTGTTATTTATCATTTTTATTCTGCTAAGTTGTTATCGTGTCTATTTATATATGCTGTTTACATCGACCAAGAAGTTGACGTTTTTTTGGACCATTAATTATGTTTGAGGAAACTTAAATGAAAAAACTAAACTTTACTGCGGTAGGGCCACGCATCAGCCAGTGCTGCAAGGCATCGCACATGACCGTCGTGAAGTGGAAGTATTATACATTCGAATTTCGTGTCGTGAGTGAGGTAGCTGATTCCCTTTTTTTCTACCGTCTTCAATAAAGAAGGTTCTCAATTCTACTGATTTTTAATGTTTGTTACCTCAGAACTTTCGACTGAGTTAACCGATTTTGATGATTCTTTTTTATTTGAAAGCTGGTGCTTCCCATGTGGTCCCATATTAATTTCATTATTATTGGATCTTGGTGGGAGATACGTAGGGAACTTCTGAAGTTTCATTTTTAGAAAAAAAAATATCATCAATTGAGGTGATAGATAAATTTAATGTTTATTCATTTATCCGTCGAAAACGAACTGCCGTCTTTTTATGTCAATATGTAAATATTTATTCAATGTTAAAAGTTCAACAATTTACCATCGTACGCCCTTTCGCTTTATACAATAGTATTCCGTATTAATCTTCGAGAAGCTTCGATAGCAGACCACATGCAAACTTGATATTCTCCCGTTGTTAAAGAATACTCTTTCGGCCGCCGTTCACAGCAAAAGGCGCTCAAGAAAGTGATGGAGAGGACGGACGTGACTGTCACCAAGCTGAAGAGGGGCGAGTTCAGCACGGAAGGCCTGGTCCAGGACCTGAACCGGCTGCTCAGGTTCAAGGAGGGCCAGCAGAAAGATGCCAACGCTTACCCAGAAACGGCCAAAGAGCTGGCAATGGGATGCTTGGCAGCGGGGATAAAGTACACCGCCCTTACGAGCGACAGCACCAACTTTGGACGGTAAAAGGCTTTTTATTCATCTTCGATGCGATGTTGTACTACTAGTTATAAACCTATTCTCATACCCACTGGAGCCATATAAGATCTCATCAAAATCGGTCAACCCGTTTCGGATGTGTATAAAAAAGTTTACTGTGGTAGGGCCACGCAGCAGCCTCAGCTGTTGCACGAATGGGCAGCCTCGTCCGGGTAAGTAAGTATGAATGAATGAATGAATACACTTTTATTGTCCACCAAAAATAACAATATACATAATATATTATTAAAGCAGATACATACATTTATATATACATATCCATATATACACAAATATACATATATATATATATATAAATATATATATATATATATATATATATATATATATATATGTATATATATATATATATATATATATATATATATATATATATATATATATATATACTAGACCTCAAACATGAATAGTATTTAATCCTAATATTACTCAGGTGATTGTGACAGGTAGTGCTCTCTTACTAACTTCTTAAAAGTGCCAATAGATTGCGCCTCACGTAAAACTAAAGGCAAGGAATTCCAGAGCTTAATAGCCTGCACGGTAAAAGATTTTTTCATAAAACGACGTTTTGTAATTTGGCACCCTTAAAATGAGCTTCCTCGAAGAACGTACATCTTCCCCTGGAAGCCCTACAAACTCAAATTTCTCCTTTAGATATGGTGGAGTACAACCATGAAACAAGACACCATACAAAACAGAAAGAATATGTAAATTCCGGCGAAATCGGATGGGTACCCACTTGAGACGTTTACGAAATTGAGAAACATGGTCATATTTACGCAACCCAAATATGAACCGAATGCTAGTATATTGGAGTCTCTCAAGTTTATTTAATTGTTCTTCAGTTATATCTACATAGCTAGCGTCAGCATAATCGAGAATCGGAAGAAGAAGAGTCTGTGCAAGCATAATTTTTGTTGGAATGGGGAGAATTGATCGAAGGCGACGCATAGATCAGAGAGCTACAAAAGTTCTCCTACTAACTTCATTTAAATGGCGGGTCCAGCTTAAGGTACTGTCGAGATAAATGCCTAAGTTTTTGACATAATCACAGTATGGGATTATCACTCCATTGATTTTAATTGGCGGTAATGATAACCAGTCAATTCTTGATATGAAGGACCGGCTGCCAACAATTATTGCCTTTGATTTATTGGGATTGATAATGAGGCCATGTGATTTACTCCACTCATGTGTGTGATTTAAGTCATTGTTCATAACGGCGATAGCTACTGGCAGATTCTCAAGTGTTGACTGGGTGTAAATCTGGATATCATCCGCATACATATGGTAGAGAGAAGAAATTTTTTGAGTGATTGAATTAATGAAAATAGAAAAAAGTAAAGGTGACAGCACGCCGCCTTGTGGTACGCCAGCAGTAGTATCACACCAAGATGAAAGTGTTTCATCAACGCGAATACGCTGCCGACGTCCATTGAGATAACTTTGAAACCAGTCAATTACTGATGGTGATAAATTAAGTGAACACAGCTGACTCAACAGAATATCCAAATCAACTGTATTAAAAGCATTGCTGAAATCCAACAAGGTCATAACTGTGAGCTGTTTATTGTCCATACCCAAACGAATGTCATCGGTAACTTTAATTAGGGCAGTAACCGTACTATGACCAGGACGGAAACCGGATTGTAAGGGATTGAACAAATTATGAGTGTTAAGAAAAAGGTTCAACTGTTGGTAAATGAGCTTTTCAAATACTTTGGAAAAGAAAGGTAAGATCGAAATTGGACGAAAATCGGAATAATTATCGGGATTAGGTTTTTTAGGGAGAGGTATATTATGAGCAGTTTTCCAAGCATCGGGAAATTTAGAAGAAGAGACACATTCTGACTAAAAACAAACGGAGGATAATTAGGAGTCGGAGTTGCAGAGAAAGATTGAAGAGTTTTAGCTTTGAGTTCATTATCAAAATTGCTAGAAGGTGTAGAAAAGTGTTGATTCAAAAGTTCAACATTAATATTTGAAGGTGTTGAATTATTTGATTTTTTACCAATTCCGATCGTTTCCAGAAACTTCCACACTCTGGATGAGTCGCCGTTCTCGACTGATGTATGGATATGGCGTCGCTGTGCATCTCTAACCAATGTATTACAGCGATTCCTGATTTTGGCACATTTTCTTTGATTCTCCTCCGCTCTGTTTCTCTTAAGTTTGGACAACGCTACATTTTTCTTTAAAATTTGCCTTTTTAGGTCATCAGAGAGCCAAGGAGCAGGCAGGTGTTTAATCCTAACATAATGTAATGGCGCATGTACATCAAAAAGTTGAATCAGTAAGGAACAAAAAAGTTCGACTTTTGAATTAATGCATGGTGCACTCTCTATCACTGACCAATTAATTTTACGAGCGTCATCACAGAGCCGGTCAATATCGATTCCTCCAAAATTACGTCGCAGAAGTATTTTAGGTTTCATTTTAGGAGGGCGTAGTTTATGCGAAAGAAAGATAAGATCATGGTAAGAGAATGCATCGGCAGGTTACTGACCGTGCTGGTAAACTAGATTTGGAGAAGAAACTATAATCAAGTCTAGAAGAGAAGGTGTACAGTTTGGAAAGTTATGGGTAGCCGAAAGGGGTAGAATATGCATATTACATGCTTCAACGATAGAATTGAGTTTATTCGCCCGATTGTCGCCTTTAAGTAAACAAGTATTAAAATCCCCCATTAAAATAGTATGACTGTAGTTAGGGATTAATTACTCTAAAAGTGACTCGAGAGAAGAAAAATATTTTAGTGAGAGGGATGGGCTATAAAAAACTCCAAGTAAGATTTTATTTTGGGACAAAGATATCTCTATTAGTAAATGCTCAGCTGAGTCAGCAGGTGACGGATGACATGACGAACTTACAATTTTAAAAGGAATGTGGGATTTAAGATAGATCGCCACACCACCGCCACCCCTGTCAGTGCGGCCATTTCGAATTAGATGGAACCCAGGCAAGGAGTAGTAGACAGAAGGCAGACAGGGCTTTAACCACGATTCAGAAATGAATATGGCGTGAACGTTTTGGGATGACAAATGACGCTAGCATGTCAGGATAATGAGCCGGAATACTTTGTGCGTTAATGTGAACAGCATTAAAATGTTTCAAACAGTCTGAGAAACAAGTATTTAGGGCAACATTGAGTGGAAGGAAAGTTGATGTCGTACTGTGAAAACTTGAGTCACTAGGTGTCTCATCACCCGAGGACAATGACATGAACAAATTCGATACTGATGTTTGAGGATAACATAAATACTATAATTAATAATATATAAAAATAGATATGTTATAATATATAGAAGCTAATATATAAATGTATAATATGCAAAACTTACTATACCCGCTATTTATAACCACCAGCACCATGAAAAGTACCACAACCTCACAGAAGACCGGCGTTAAGTATGATGATACTTTTGCGTTTCGTCTGGTGAGTGAGGTAGCCGGAGCCCAATTTTCCAAAGGTTGTCAACGTATATCCAACCCTCGGGTGTAGCAGATGTCCATGTGCGACGGTATTCCCTTAACATCAGGTGAACCGCCTGCTCGCTTGGTAACTTGTCACTTAAAAAAAATGAACACTAAAACTGTGACACAAGAATTTTATATATTAGATTATACAGGGTGATTTTTAGACGAAGTACATACTACACACTTCTGTGGATTGTGGCAAATTTCACACATCTTCGAAATATGTATTTTTCTTACCATTTGGAAAATATGCGTGATAAGTCAGCACTTAAAATTAATAATATCATTGGTGCCGACACCAGGATATAAACTCGGGTTGCTCGATTATATTGAATTGAAAGCGAGCACCCGAACACTGAGCTATCACGATTCTACAGTATATGATTCTGGAATGGACTAAGGTGTTTTCCCCTCCAATGTCGTATTATCAAATTCTGTTTGTTGTATGTACAAAATCGTGTGAACTACCTCTAATGGCTGACGCGTCTAGGAATCATTTATCCTATCGGCTCGAGCGTGTCGAATACATTGACCCTAATTATAAATAAATGTCTGTCTTATCTAGCATATTATTTCTTATTAATCCGCGCGTAAACAAACGCCCCTGGTGGAGATATTTCTGCTTTTGTGTGTGTTATGTGTTTTTCTTATGCAGCACTATCACGTCGTTAATTTCCCATCCCAATACCGGAACTTCAGTATCCACCATAAATCACGTATACAGGAAAATATTTAATTATGTGATTGATTATTTTTTAACAAATCTTTTTATATAAATGAATAAAAATTTGTAGGTCCACCCACATTGTTCGGTAAATACACCGATTGGACGGAGTCCAGGCCTTTAATTATGTCTTTAATAACACCTCTCGAAACTTATTTTAAATATTTCATTAGATGTTTTTACACAACTTTATCTTGTTCCAAACTGAGCAAAGCTTGTACTATAGATACTAGGTAACTGATAAGCATACGTCAACACAATTTTCTTTTGTAAACAAATACATACTATAGATAACAACAAAAAACATACCATATCCAGTCGGCGCCGTGGTGACACGCTGGAAATACCGAGGTTTAGATTAGCTAAAACAAGGAAATCGTTTCTTGATAGATGTGTTAACTTATGTAATGAAATAGGTGACATCCACAAACAATTAAGTGTAAATAATTTCAAACATCTTGTAAAAGCTATCTTAATGGAAAGGGCCTATTATAATGTCAAGGAATACATTGAGGACAAGAATGTGTGGAAATGACTCTTACTCTGCACTTGCAAGTCCCCTGGCTCCTGCTAATTTTATACTTAAAAAATTCTTTTGTGTACTTAACAATTCAAATAAAACAAAAAAGATAGGACCCTAGAGTTTCTTGCCGGTTCTTCTCTGGTAGGTCGAGTTTAGTGAACCGGTGGTAGTAGTTTTTGACGTTCCTAAATTGTATAAAGAAATGTTGACTTCCTAAATTGAGATATGTAAACACCGAGATTATGTATATCTCGCAATATTTTCCAGTTATGGGGATCAAACTTACGCCCTCTGGCACAAAACACAGGATCACTATCCATTATGTCATGTACCTGTCTAATTAAATTAATTGCATATAAATAATAATTGTATACATATATATTATATTGCTAAATCGTTACTATTTATTAACTTATGGCAACCGATTTTTCGCAACATCCATACACATTTTTAAGAACCATCGACTACCACTCGACGAGTGGACTAAAATTAATACAAATGAAATTTTATTTTTATAATACTAATATTAAATTTATAGTAAGAAAAACGGACAAAGTTTTTCGTTGCTGCGGGAATTGAACCCATATCTTCCGGAATCGCCCCCGGACGCTTTACCACTTAGCTTAACCTGATCACCAAACCGACCAAAAACTCAACACATTTAATCTACAACAAACGAGTTTCAGATAGGCTTGAAAACAGGATGCTATGCATAATGCTGAATGAATAAATGAATGTAATGAAATATGCTTTATCGTACACCAGACATAAGTTACAAAATGTAACAAAAATTACAAAAAGGTACAATTGGCAGCCTTATCGCTTAAAAGCTATAAGGCAAACACGTTACAGAGGTTACAATGAAGAAAGGCTTGAGTTGTATGCTATTTTAAATATAATAATTCGAAAAGCACACATAAAATGTACAAACATATACACATAAATAAATATTTAATTCGAGCTTTGGTTTTGTATGTTTTGTTTTTTTCTTTATTGTACACACAATATAATAAGTTCTGTTTTTTTAGGGAATAGAATGGAATTTTATTTGGAAAAATAAGTTTGTTTTTATTTCAATAAACAGTTATATTACTGAGTCTGAACCTCCTGTGTAAATTTGGGCACGTTTAAAAAAGTCTCCGTGTATAAACCTTCCTCTTGAATCACTCTATCTAATAAAAAAAACCGCATCAAGATTAATTTAAGATCTAGATCTTTAGATTAAAATTAAAGGTCTAAGCATACATAGGGACAGACAGCGAGATGACTTTGTTTTATACTATGTAGTGATGAATGAATATTTATTTAGTTTCGACAAACGCATTTATGTTAACAATTAAAAGAATATATAACTAGACATGAAACCAAATAGGTATATACCAAAGATTTAAATTATAAATAACAAACTAGACTAAGATTAACAGAAATCGGGTACATTAATTCAAGGACAATGACACAATAACTACTAATTATGACACAAATCTGGTAAATTATTTAAATATTCTTTATTTTCATTTTCTATATCATATAAAAAAATAAAAAAAATGCACATTTGGATGTCGCTTCCAGGTTCCAGCTGTGCGGCATCCAGGCGGACGGGTACCTGCACCTGGACGCGGCCGCCCTGAAGGCGCTCAACGTGCTGCCGGAGCTGGGCGACAACTGCAACGCGCCGTCGCGAAGCCTCTACGGCCTGCTGGACAGGTGCCGCACGCAGCACGGCAAACGGTCGGCAACGTTGTTTCAAGCGATACATAATAATAATAAAACAACATAACGTTACAACTAAAAATAATAATGATAATGAATGACGAATTTTGCAGTGGATGGTCACACAACAGTGTTAAAGTAGAGGTGTTGCACTTATGCGTTTCGTCTGATGAGTGAGGTAGCTGGGGACCATATTATTAAGAGGTGGCAACGCATCTGCAACGAGCATCTGCAATAAGAATAAATCGTTTATTTGACTAAACGTACACATAAAAAGTATGTGTGTACTTTTAATTAAATTCGCACAGAAGACATACAAGAAGTATGTAATGAGTAGCGTAACAAAAGAAAAATAACTAATAACTTTACCCCCTGTGCAAGTACCCTTTTTCTAGTCGTTTTGCAACAAACTTCATCATGGCAGCGGAACATTTAAAGGCTGTTTTTACTTTTTATCACTGTTGAGTGACCGTTCGTGCGTTGCAGATTGCTGGCGCAGTGGCTGCGGCAGCCGTTGCGCGACACGCACCTGATCAACGAGCGGCTGGACGTGGTGGAGGCGCTGGTGGGCAACTCCTCGCTGCGGCTGCAGCTGCACGACGACCACTTGCGCAGGGTGCCCGACCTGCAGGCGCTCGCCAGGCGCCTGGCCCGGCGCAGGGCCGGCCTGCAGGACTGCTACAGGATCTACCAGGTCCACCGTCCGACTTATATTTTATAATAACAATAATAATACAGTATTTATATGTCTATTTTTATTTATAATTATTATTTAACATATGCAATATATGTCAATTTAGTATTGTCTATTTATAAACCAAACCAGACGAGAAACAAATAAAGATCCCCCAATATAATATTAAATAAATATTTTAGGACACATTCATTACACAACATTCTCTATTCCTAAACTAAGCAAAGCTTGTACTATGGGTACTAACTGATAAACATAATTTTCTTTTGTAAATAAATACATATTACACATATATAAACACCCGGACACTATGAAAACACTATGTTCATTATACAATATTTTTCCAGTAGTGGGGACGAACCCACACCCTCTGGCGCAGGAGGCAGGTAGACTACCCACTACGCCACTCGGGTCGTCTCGGTTTTAATGTGAGGAAATGGCTCATAGACATTTGCAACGGCCGTAGGGTTGCAGATGCGTTGTCGTATTTTAATTATGTTGGCCCCGGCTACTTATCTTACCAGACGAAACGCAGAATTGTACTTCCACTTTACGCCTATCATCAGTGAGGTTGTGTTACTTGATCCCGGACGGATCTGCCAATTAGTACCACATTCAAGATCTGTAATGTTATTTATTAATTTGTTTCCATTTACGCGAATACCAAACATTATTGAGGACGTCCGGCAGACGTCTCCTGGATGCCGCCCGTCGCCAATTGCGACACACGTAAAGTTGCGGATGCGTTGCCACCTTTTAATAAAGTGGACCACGGCTGCCTCACTCGCCAGACGAAACGCAGAATTGTTACACTTCCATTTCACACCGGTCTTGTGTCAGGTCGTGGTAGGTACTTACCCGGACGCGCCTGCCCAGTGCAACAGCAGAAGTTATTGGGTGGCCTACTACATTCAAGATCTGTAATGTTGTCTAATCATTTGTCACATTTACTCGAATACCACACTTTATTACGCAGTTGCTAGCGCTATTGACTATCGAGCTTTGTAACAACGAAAGGTATAGCATGGTAATGTTTATAAGGAACTAGCAAGTTTAGTTATTAGAATATTGTGCCTTACAGTGAACGACATTAAAGCTATTTGTTACGATCTTACTTATAACATTCGTAACAACTCGGTATTAAGAGTAATATATTCAGAATAAAAGTTTCGTGGCTTATTGCGAAAACGGTCACAATCTGCTATTATTACACATATTCATAATATCAAGACTCGAGATTTGCTTTAAGAGACATGAGATACATTCTATTTCTCAATTTACAGGCGATTGATAGACTTCCATCTCTTCTTCAATGCCTCGCTCAGGCGGACAGTGCAACAATACATTCGTCACTAGCAGAACCGATTTCTGAACTGCACGGAGATCTTGAAAAATTCCAGCAAATGATTGAAACCACTGTTGATATGGAAGCTGTTGAAAGAGGTTACGTATTTTTGGCAAGGCATTGCTCCTTCTATACACTAATATTGTATATGCGTCGTACAATATTTTTAAATACTCGTCTTATTTTTATAATAAGCGTACTTTGTTCTGCTTTTTAGAAAGGGAAACAAATAAAGATTTATTTATTTATATGGCTAGTCTAAGAATAAAACATTTAAGTAACATTCCTTTGGTGCAACTATTTTATTGATTACAACTACTCCACCTTAATAAACAGAACAGGGTATTTCAAATAAAGTGACATTTTTTTATTAAGTGGTAAATTCGTTTTTATATAACTTAAAATAGATGGCTTATTAAGGAGAATGAGAAAATATAATGACTCTGTGTTTTTTTTTATTTCAGGAGAATTCCTAGTAAAACCATCCTTTGATGAACAACTGCAAAATTTGCGGGAACAACTGGATAATTTGCAATCCAAGGGAGAGAAAGAACTACGTACGGCAGCAAGTAATTTAGACCTTGAAGCTGGAAAGAGTATTAAGCTGGAGAATAATCCACAAAATGGATTCTATTTTAGGTATTGTCCATAAATTTCCTTTCATTAATTTCATTTAAATAATTAAATGGGCATCTAATAACTTGACATTTTTAATGTATTTTTAAGAATAACAATAAAGGAAGAACAGGCAATCCGTGGCAACAAAAAGTACACAATTATTGATACAGTAAAGGGTGGTGTGCGTTTCAAAAATAGTGCATTGGATAGTTTAACAGAGGATTATGTTCAAACTAAAGAAGCCTATGAGAAGGAACAGGATAAAGTTGTCAGTGAAATAATCAACATAGCAAGTAAGCATCATAATAATCATATTCACTCTCCTATCCTTATCTCACCTAGGTGAGATACCAACTATTTGTGGGTCACACAAATACTTGTCCCATTTGGGAATGGAACTCATGATTGCCCAGCGCCGAAACCAATAGCTTAGCAAATTTTTCCACCGCCTAATAATATAATAATACACTTATTTATACATTTGAACAATAACAGCTTAATATGAAAATTCAGTCATTTTTGACCATAATATGTCCAACAATATGTTAAAAGAACAAATTTTATGCCCGGTTTCTGAAACACCGATCATCGTATAAGTCAACTAATCAGCTGTCAAATGGCGTTATAAATGTTATTTAAGATGCCAAAAGGATGGAAAAAATCATCAAGAAGATCATTCTGATCGATTCAGAGAGTTTAACCATACTTTTGGCCAACAGCCATTTGACAGCTGATTAGTTGACATCTAAAATGATCAGTGTCTCTCACAATAAAGTGTTAAAAGAATAATTTTCAATCTGTTTTAGATATAATACATATTGTCCCTTTTTCACAATATATCTTAAAAGAAGAATTTTCAATCAGTTTTGTATGTAATGATAAGAATATAATTAGTACACACAGCACTAATACACTATAACACAATCGACACGACACTTACGGCCCCACCCTAGTTCCAATATAATGTTATGGTTGGATCGTTGGCGCGCATTTATACCGCTCTGATAGGAATTAAAAAAACAATTTTCCTCATACGTTTTGCTCCTAACTATTCCTAATATTCCCCTTTTTCCACAGTGAAGTGTTCAAAAGGAGAATTTTCAATCTATCTTAGACGTAACAAACACTCCCTTTTCCAGCCGGTTACTCGGAGTGCCTGTTCAGCCTTTCGCACGTGCTGTCCCGGCTGGACGTGCTGGTGTCGTTCGCGGTGGCGGCGACGGGCGCGCCCTCGCCCTACTGCCGCCCGCTTTTCGCCGAGGGCGCGGACGAGCTCGTGCTTAAGGAGCTGCGGCATCCGTGCTTGGAGGTGCAGGAGGGCGTCTCCTACATACCGAACGATGTCGTATTCAAACGCGGTACGCTCACCCCGATTTGACGGCCTATGTTGAACAGTTCGTGCAGAAATATTTTTGCGTGGGCTCTGAGTAATAAAGGCTGGGTAAAAAGTAAAGTAACATCATAACAACAACAGCAAATTCCAATGGTCTAGTTAAGACTGTGATGTCGAGACGAAATGTAGCCTAATTTAAACCCATTTGCTATTTAACTGTGCTAAGTCCACGCAACAGTGTTCGCTGTTGCACAAATGGACAGGTACCACAACCTCATAGAAGATCGGCATGATGTGGAAATGTTATACTGCGTTTCGTCTGGTGAGTGAGGTAGCTGGGGCTCACTTTATTAAAAGGTGACAACGCATCCGTAACCCTACGGTCCAAATGTCCATGGGCGATTATCACCTAACATCAGGCTTACCGCCAGATCGCTTGCCACCTCGCATAAAAAAAAGAAATGTGGCCTAATTTAAACCCATTTGTAAATTACCCACTACTCGATCGTTCGGGATAAATGTCTTATACGATTGTTACGTGGCGGTGATGAATGTTAATAATGCGGCCGCAGGCGAGTGCCTGATGCACGTGGTGACGGGCGCGAACATGGGCGGCAAGTCGACGTGGATGCGGTCGGCGGGCGCGGCGTGCGTAATGGCGCAGGCGGGCGCGCTGGTGCCGGCCAAGGAGGCGCGGCTGCCCGCGCTCAGGGCGCTGCTGGCGCGCGTCGGCGCCGCGGACCGCGAGCAGCGCGCGCAGAGCACCTTCATGCTCGAGATGTTCGAGACCGCCGCCGTGCTGCGGGTGCGCGCGACTGTACTCGCATCGACTCGATTGGCTTTGTGTGTCTGCGCGACTGTACGGCCGCGTGTCGGAGTACAACCGCGAACGGCGCCGTTGGCTTGCGTTGTCGCTTTTTTTATATGTTAGATTGCGCGACTGTACACCGACTGCCCCGCGCAAATTTAATTCATATGGATTATCGAGACTGTACGCCGCTGCGCTGCTGTACGGTCGCGGACGCTGGCTTTAGATGTGTATTTGCGCGACTGTACACGGATACGTCGCTGTGCAGTCGCACACGGTCGGCCACGTGTCGATGTACAGTCACGAACGGCGGCGTTCGATTGCGTTATCGTATTGTTTTAGATCTGGATTTGTATCTTGCATCTTATATTAACTGATGTTTTTGCTTTCAGTCCCGAGACTATTAAAGCTTCATCTGACGCAGAACCGGTGGGCTAGCCAGAACCCACGGGTTTGGGTCTGGATTCGTGTATAAACAGCTGCACGATATCTTATGAAGATCATTTGTGAAAGATCATGTCCGCTTTGTGTGGACTTGCGAGACTGTGTGACCTGCGCGGATCTGGGCCTACCTAGATCACGTTTCTTTAGCAATGGTGAACTAAGACTCACGCATGCGTGCAACCGTAGGCATGGGACGCAAGTAGATAATGACAACAACTCGTAATCTATAAAAACCGACAAACCTCATAAAGGGGAGAGATAACCAGAGCCAAACCAGCTAAATAACAAGAAGGTGCATGCGGAGCCTGATTCCGCCCATTCAACTGCGAAGTTGGTGGGGTCATTTACGATGGTGGATTGTACATATTCTTCCCATATGCGTCATAATTATTATTCCCATTAACGCTATCCCGTTCCCACGTGAACTTAAAAAATGAAAGATAAGGATGCCAGAACCTCCAATGATTTCATTTATTATGACCACTTGGCTTAGTGACTTAGAGTTTCAGGATGCGTAATTCTGAAAGTGCACGATCAAGTCCTAAAAGCAGCGAAAAAATTGTGTAAAATTTTAACTACTGGTTACGTTAATTTCATTTAGATCTATCTTATTAGTGTCGTTTGGCTCGTATAATGAAAAACGACAATGTAATAATTTCATTACAGACCGCCACACCCAATTCTTTGGTGCTAATTGATGAGCTGGGACGGGGAACGTCGACATATGAAGGATGTGGAATTGCTTGGGCCATTGCAGAGTAAGTTAGAATTTAAACAACATTCTTGAGGTATCTTCATGCCTTCTTGGTGTAATTTTTTAAAAATTTAAAGAAACACGTATAAGGCAGTTAATTTAGGGAATAAAAGATTGCAAGATGACTATGATAATTAACTTGTTCGAAGACATTTCCACAATGTTCATAATAAACATGTTTTCACCTATTCATTTATTTATCACTGACATACTTTAAGTTAGTAGAAAAGTAACTGAGGGTGAGCAAGGTTTCAAAGCAAAACAATATATTTGTAAATTCTTAATTCGCAGGTTCAAAAATAAGTAAATTCCCAATACAACTTTTTTTCTATACTGTGCCATTGTTTTACTTGTTACTGTTATTTTTTTTTTTTTGTATCTGTTGAGTGGCTTTTCTAAAGGTGCCCAAATTCACACAGGAGGTTCAGACTCGGTAGTATAATCGTTTATTGAAATAAAAACAAACTTTTCTTTTTCAAAAATATTGCCATTCGATTCCTTAATAAACAGAACTTGTTGACAATGCGGTAGTCATTCAAAAATGCGTCGTATACTTTTGAAACGAACTTGTGTGCGGGTTGGTTATGAATGATCGCTCCTAAAATAAATGAGTTGCCCATAAATCACGCATTTTTTGATATAAGTTCAAATGAATGTATTTAATTAATTACGGGCGATTTTAAATATTTATGATTTTTTACATAACATTATTTATGTCTAGAATTTAATAAAATAAAATGGATACACTTAAACAAGCCTCTCTGTATCTGCGCAACGCACACACATGTTAAGACAATTTCATAAATGATTTAAAGTAATAGTAGAAAGTTGGGGAGGATAGCAAACCTGTCAAGTCATCCAAATTATGATTTATTTATGCATTAATACTTCCATTGTAGATTTGTTGCAAAAAGCTGCAACAGCAAATTATTTGTGTCGCTGAATGTATCCAATTCTAATGTAGCTCTTTTAAAAAATAGATGTGTTAAAATACTTTCCGAAAATAGCCAATGTCGTTATGTTATTAGATGTAAATCTAACGTTTAAATGGGCAAAAACTGTAAATTGAATAATGCCCCCAGGAAGCTGGCGACGGAGTGCCAGTGCTTCTGCATGTTCGCGACGCACTACCACGAGCTGACCCGGCTCGCCGCCTTGCACCCGGGGCTCATCGCCAACTCGCACGCGGAGGCGTCCGTGGTGGGGCAGCAATTGGTGCTGTTGCATAAAATTGTCCCGGGCCCCGCCGCCCACTCGTTGGGGCTGCACGTGGCCAAGTTGGCCGACCTGCCGGACTCCATTATCCAGGTGGATCGTTTATTTTCTTTGATGCATGGCGGCAAGCGAGATGGCGGTTCACTCGCCGCTCATTTCTCGACATTTGCAACACCCGTAGGGTGGACCGTAGCCTCTTTTCATATAGTGGGCCCCGGTTACCTCACTCAGCGAAACGCAGAAGTATAAGACTTTCAAGGTCTTCTGTGAGGTCGTGGTTACTGGCCATTCGTGCAACGGCGAATACTGCTGCGGGACCACAGTTCACATTAGAAAGTTCATATTAGTTCTCTCTCTCCTCCCTGGTACTCGCCCCATAGTGAGGTGGGGTCAGCCTCTTCTATTCTTCTCCACTTCGCCGTTAACGCCGGATGCTGTCTATTAGCAACAAATGCATTAAGAGAAAGCATTAATATACATATTAGGTTTAATGATGAAATTCATGGCTGAACATCATTGGATATATTGGTTACATAGTTAAAAATCCAGTAGTAATTAATACAGATAACATTATTAATTGCCTACAAAGACATAACGTAACATTAAAACACAATTGAACATATGTCAGTGGTTTATTAAAATAAAATACCCAAGTTCCTGTAATTTAAAGGTAAATAATAGTTGTTAAATAAAATTATTCTATGGTTTTATCGAAAACTAAACGCGAGGAAATCCGTAAAGAAAGGATTGAAATTAAATGTTTTTTTTTTCATCCTCTTTTAGTACGCCGAGGAAAAACAAGCTCAACTGGAAACTAACCTCTTCGAAATCGAGTCATCTGTTGAATCTCAAGAGAGCTCTGAAGGACAGCAAATAATTTTAGATTTCTTACGTAAATGCAAGCAAATTCAGGAGACATTCAAATCTGACGAGGAAATGATGGAAGAAATTAATAAGCTAAAACAAGAATTGCTGCAGAAAAACAGCAAATACGTACAGTCTCTTATGACGTGCTGATTTTTTTTTTTTTTTCAAATATATTCATCACATCGAATTTGGTGTCACTTGTAATTCTTTGTTTTCTAATAAAGGCGAGTTTTGTACGTAATCTTAAAATGACGATAGTAACGCAATTATTATTTGTTAAAAGCAAAACATGCCAGATAATTTATTTAAATTAGGTGCCATTTTTGCAATACAAAATATAATAACAGGTAAAAATTTTTAAGTATTGTCATATCTGTACTTATTTATTTATTTAAAAACTGTTTGCGCACCATTAGGTTTTCTTTACCAGTCAATCGACAAATAAATAGAGAAAATAAGATAAATAGAGGTGCAAGAGAGCCAAATCAGAAATAGTGAAAATAATAATGTTTTGTAGAAATGTGACATACATTTACACTGTGTCGGTTTGTAGTATATACACGCTGAATAACTGATACATTTGTGCGCATTATTTTAGATTTCTACCAATATTTAGATTCTATGCTCTTTCATTTATTTACTGACTGTTTCAGCATAATACTTATGTGTACGCTATTCACTTTTTAATCGCAAAGCTGTATTATTTCTAGTAACCCGGATTCCTAAAAGTTGTATTCTCGTATATTCTTATAATAAGAAAGAGACGCAAAGGAAAAAAAACGAACGTGCCTTTGACCACACGACTGAAGTTAAACGTCTTTAGCTCCATCTATATGTAATCTGTATCTCCATTTGTATGAATTTCCAATTTTATTCACTTTAAACGTAGGATATTTAATGCATTGAACAAAATATTAATTTATAAAATTGTTCAAGAACGAAATGAAATTACGAAGTAATCAAGAAATCACATCTCATTTTCGTAACGCCGATCACACTTTTCGTAACGCTTTCGTCACCCATTCACCAGCTTACTCACTAAGTCAAACGTGCGTACAGAAGTTTTACTTCAAAAGTTATAAAAACATTTTGTTGACATTGCTTCTTCAGATTACAACTTATTCCGGTCGATGGCTCATGGCCTGATATCCCTATATGATGGTAACAAATCATAAAAAAAAATGTTAGGTAAAACTTTGTATTATTACCCTTATCTAAAAAAAATATCGTTTTAGGTAGGTACCTATCCAAGAATCTAATTGATGCCTCATTAATGGAAGATTATTGGTACCTTTTTCCAAATTGTGAAATAAAAAACCGGCTAAGTGCGAGTTGGACTCGCGCAGGAAGGGTTCCATACCATGTAAAAAATCATGTCTGTTGTATAGGAGCCCCATTTGAATTTTTTTTTCTGTTTTTTAGTATTTGTTGATATAGCTGCAACAGAAATACATCATCTGTCAAATTTTCAACTGTCTAACTGACATGATTCATGAGGTAAGCCTGGTGACAGACGGACAGACAGACAAACAGAGTGTTCGTAATAGGGTCCCGTTTTACCATTTGGGTACGGAACCCTAAAAATGGAGATCAATTGAAGTAAGCTTCGTTAAGTGATGCTTATTCCCTATATATAAGGGAAACATCTGGAATTTTGAGACGGTCCGCTATGCTCTGTAGAGCGTTGTCTTGAAAGGCCGGAGCCCCACTGGTGCGCACGGTTGTGGTATAAAAATGCTTTGTATGAAAATGTAGTTAGATACTTCTACAGTAGTGCACGAGCACGCTGCACACGAAATGACGTCACTGACAAAGCCCAACTGCGAGCGGGGGATACGAGAATCGTGGGCCTTGTTTACATTGTCTCAAGTGTGCGTATGTGCAACTGACCAATAAACCCACGTTGCCCACACGTTTTACGTACGCATGCCTTGGTTGCTGTGAAAATGTTGAAACTCGCAGCCAGACCAACGTGAGCGATGTGTATAGCGTATCCGTGTGTAGCGTGCGCATAAGTGGGGCTCCGGCCTAATAGTGTGAATTGACAAGTGTTATTTGACAGCAAGTTGCTCTATCATAATTTGTAATTTTTCAGAGTACAGTTAACAATATCAGCTCTTAACTTAATCCGTATTTAGGACATGACCCAGCTTGCTCTTGGACTTTGATTGATATTTGTGCGTTTTTAGTTGCTACTATGTATATAGCTTCATCTGGGATAGAGTGGAAAGTTCAGTTTGCTTGAGCTGTTAGACCCTATCTAAGCGGAGCCAAGCCTGTGGTCATGCGTACAAATTGAGAGAACTTTGTGCTATACGATTCGTCGAGATGAGTTTGTCTACATGTAGACCTTGGCGACCGTCGAATGTTTTGTACTGTGGGTGTACCTTGAGTACGCGGTGTGGTATGGAGTTTGGTTGTGCCTGTGGTAAGGCCACGCAACATTCTTCGCTGTTGCACGAATGGCCAGGTCCTTCCAAGTACCACGACCTCACAGAAGACCAGCGTGAAGTTGAAGTGTTACATTTCTGTTTCTTCTGGTGATTAAGGCAGCCGAGGCTCACAATAAGGTGCAACGCCTCTGCTACTCTTTGGGTGTTGCAATGGGTGGCGGTTATCTCTTAATATCTGTTGAAACGCCAGCGCGCTTGTCACCTTCTCACCTATAACAGTTTTAGACCTTGGCGGCCGTCGACTGTTTTCTACTGTATATGTACCTGAGTAAGCGGTGTGGTGCTCATAGGCACAGTGTGGAGGGTAGTTTTAAGTTTGCTACATACATTTGGTGTAGGTACAAGTATTGTCGGTCAGTTCAAAATACTTTCGTTTCCTTCTTTGGGTGGATGAGAAGCTTACGTGAGCGACGTTTGCCAACGGCCAGTTATCGGCTCTCTTGAAAAGTCCACATGACTCCTAGAATTGTGTTATTAAAACTTTCGGCTTGGTGAAAAACTGAAAATCGCTTGCAATTGAAGGTTTTATTAATGCAAAATTGAATGCTCTCGAACTGAATTCCTCCGTAATAAGCCCGTAATGTTTCGTATTTAATTTATGATTTTTATAAACATGTTCAGTATTTGGTGGTGCAGAAATAAACGCTTTAATTAATGCGTCTACTATGACCAATCAATACTTATTGGTTTTTTTACTTTACTACCTTAAAAAGTTTACAAGTTAAAGGGTTTTATATCTCTGTCATATCATCGAAACTACCCGCTGCAGCGGAATTTTACACAAGCTTCTGGACTGGAATAGGTCAAAAACACCTTCGATTTGCCGGCAAAATGCAGACATCATGACTGAATCGCTGAGGGACCTTAGTGGTATGATCTTAACAGTAGATAACTCCTAATTAAATACTATATAATATACTCTTCTAAATAATAAGTCTTAATAAAAACGGTCATACCTATACAGGTTGCTGGGTGAACTGTGCACTCGAAGTTGTTAACGAGTATGTTTAACGCGGAGATTTGCCAGATAGACTTATTTGTCTGTCCGCGGACTCGCGAGGAACGTAACAAGTCTGAAAGAATCTAGCTCGTATCCGAGGACGAAAATACCGTCCGCTCAACTACACCACAGCGACCTCTGTTAAGGAAAGATAGATATGATAATTTAGATAAATTATATGGAAATGATTATTTCTACTCTCCCCCCGGGTTGACTGTTAGATAATGCCTATAGGCATTAAGTCCACACTTTGTAACAATTTTTTAAGGTTTCTTTAAAAAAATCCCTAAAAATAGTTTAATTTTGAAAGATAAACAATTCGACTAAAAAGGGGGGGGGGGGGGCCGATACGAGCTAAGGGCAGTTCGAACCTAAGCTTTGAAATTTAATTTGCCATTTAAGTAGAGTATGAAAGGCTCATGCGCTGTTCCTTCGAAGTAATGTATTGCTGGCAAAAGGTGCGACTCAACCGCACGTCAATAATATTATGTTATATATTTCATCTGTGGTAAGTGAGATAACAGAGGTCCTCTTAAATTTTAGTAGACTGCGTTGCGGCTATTCTTGGGCGACGGTAATCCTTCTCGCCTAGAAAATAGACTATATATTCTACTTTAATACTCGGAATAACATGTCATGACCTCTTGTTCTTTTTTCTGAACCCGTGCACATGCTGACTTTTTGGGATAAGGTTAATAACTAACGTTTTTGAACATTTGAATGCAGTGGCATTCTGTGGATAACAGTACTAAAACTGTTTTGAAACTAATGTATCAAAAAGTAGGCCTTTTAACAGAGCCATGCATTACTTTCACTTTATTAAACATTAAAATAATAATTTTTCAATATGCGAAAATCAATGAAAGAAAGATTAATTTAACATTTTCATCTTTATTTAAACATCAACAGGATCTAATAATAATTACCTATTATGAAAACAAATTGAATGTGACTTTTAATAAATTCTCTTATTAATTAATTTGCACAGCTATAATTAATTGTATGTCTAAAATTATAAACAATAAGTTCAATAACATATTACCTATTCATTAGCAAATTTGTTAAAGCAATTCCTTGGGAATGGTTTTAAAGTTGTTAAATTTAAATTATAAACAGGTATTATGTATTGGACTTAACATTTATTATTACTAGTTGCTTGGAAACTTGTATGATATGACGCGTTTCATGATTTAATAGATTATAAAATAAAGTTTTCGATATATGTAAGTGCTAATGTGTGTTTAGTAACGCTGATGTGTATATTATTTCATAGTTATCACATGTTTGTAACAGTTTAAAAGTAAATGCATAATTTACATTTCTATTTCACACGCGTTTTTATGGACTGCTCATGTAACTTTGGTCTTGTGTTGTGATTATTAAAAAAAATTTTGATATTAAAAAAACTTGTAATTTAATTCAAAATTGTAAATTTCACCGAATTTCTTATTCCGCTTATCATAATGCCTACCTACTACTACCTTTGTTGCCTTAGAAATTATTTTGCTTTTATTGTCAAAATAAAATATTTACAGAACAACTAACATTGTCATTGTATGCAACTGCAATTTTGAATATGTACTAATACTTGATAATTAATTTTTATTTTTTTAAATGATTTCTTTAATTACACTTATTAAGACTTTTGTGTATAATTTACAATATTTGACAAATGTTTACATTTTTACCATTCATTTTTATTGCAAGAAACAAAACATATTATAGGGTTTGTTCATATTATAGCTTGTATTATATTGCAACTACGAGAACATATTACATATGATATATAGAAATAAAAAAACAAAGTATAGAAACTGTGCATATATAATTAAAAATGTCAGTGTAAAAAAGATGTTTACTTGTATTACTTAAAGATTGTATAACAATTTACAATCAAATATATTAAAATTACATGAAAATTAAATAAATAAATAGATAATATGTGCATATAAATGTTAAAATTTAAGACTACAACTTAAAATTGCAAAAACCAAGTTAGATTTGCTATATAATTTCCAAAACTATTTCAGCAGCCAATGTACCAAACCTGCAAGTTATTTAATATACTGGATATGTTATAATTTAGAAGTTACAAGATATATGGAAATTCAGCAATTCAAATGTCAATCCAAATATTTGGTTGGCCTCGTAATAATTATATCAATATAATAATGTCAAATTATTTCTTGCAATAAATTAATTTCAAAATGTACACCATCATTTATGTCGGTGGGACAAAATGATAAGCTAATTATTTACAATATGTTATTTACATTTGTCGTTATATATCTTTTAAACAAATAAATAATTTAAAATCATATCAACATCTACAATGAACTCCCGCTGTGTAACGCGCGGCCAACTGGAGTTTCGGGGAGTCGACTCACTGCGTTTTAATACACCGTTGCATATGTTGAAATCACAGAACTAGCGGTCTATCGCGGGGCGTGGTTTCAGCACGCCGCTGGGCCGCCCGGCGGAGTGACTAGCATCGGGGCCGCGGCCGGGCCCGCCTCACGAGAAGTACAGGCGCACCGCGTTTTGGAACGTCCTCCGGCACATGGGGCACCTGTCCGTGGACAGGGCGCACTTGGCGCACGCCACCACGTGGCCGCACGGCACGAAGCACACGTTGCGCTCCTCCGCGTAGCAGATCTTGCACAGCTTCGAGTCCTCCACGGCGCTCTCCCGCTCCCGCTCCCGCTCGCGCTCCTCGGCGCAGTGGGGCCCGCCGGCCGCCTCCTTGTCCCGCGGCGCCGGGACCGCGCACGCCTCCGACATCACGCGCTGCACGTAGTCGCGCCCCTTCACGAGCTGCACGTACGCGCAGCGGTCGAACCAGCGCGCGTGCTGCTCCCACGGCACGTCGTCGTTCTCCCAGTCCTTGAGGCCGCCGTCGCAGTAGAAGCACTTGGTCTTGTCGCCGTGGCCTGTGTAGAAGAAGCCCGCCTCGGCGAGCTCCTCGGGCTTCTGGCGCATGCAGCGGGGCCAGTCCTTGAAGGTGCGCAAGCGAGCCGCCTCGGAGGCGTAGCGCGGGTGGACGGGGCCGGGCATTCGCTCGGGCGTGGCGTTGGGCGGTGCGCGGACGCCGCACTCGTCGTGGCCCGCGGCGGCCGGCGACTCGAGCGGCACGTTGCCGGCGGCCGCGTGCCGCCTCAGGAAGGGGCACTGGGGCGCCCAGCGCTGGTGGTCCTTCGCGGGGTCGTCGCCCTCGACCCACCGCATGATTTCGACCTTGCAGAACGCGCAGCGGACCTCGTCGCCGCGGCCCAGGTAGTAGAAGCCGTTGCGCGCGAGCTGCGCGGGCGCCAGGAACTCGACGGGCCACTTGTCGAACGTCTTGAGCCGCTCCTCCTCGCGGCGCATGTCGGGCGCTTCCGTGTAGAAGCCGAAGGTGTCGTGGTTGTCGGTCTTGTCGGAGGACGCGGCCGGCGAAGTGGCGGCCGGCGAGCTCGACGTCGAGCCATTGTTCGCTTCGCAGCCGGGACTACTGGGGAGGACTAGCGGGTCCACTAGAGGCCTCAGTTTCGCCTCTCGCGGTGCACTCTTGAACAGTTGCGTCACCATCTGAGTGGTGAGCGGTGACGTTGGATTGTTGGCTGCCACTGAAAAGACGAGAACGCAAAATTTACTACGGTGGAGTTTAGCAAATAATTTCCAGTTCCTTTTCGTTACTTCAAGGAATTCGGTCGTATTGTTGCATGATTTTTTACGTTTGTTACCTCAGAATTTGTAGCTGTGGCTCCCATATGGGACCACATGGAAGCTACAATTTTTAAAACATCAGATACATTCGGGGAAAATCAAATAGAAATATTTTTGTGCGTGAGATATTTGCAGTCGGTTTTGTTATTAAAAACGTTTTGTGAGTATTACTGTTTAATGGTCTGAAAACTTCTGAGGAGTAATGTCTTGACACATTTTTATGTAACTTGTATTTAGAAGTTGACACCGCTAAGTTGAAACCGTTAATACCGCAACTTCTTAGAAAGGTTTTAACCAAAACATATTATAGAAATATCTCTGAAATAAATTCATTATGGAATTTCGAGTAGTTTCTACAAAACTATGACATTAAACGATGGAAATATGGCACTTTACGATATGGGCCGATACTTGGGATTCCGTTTGTATTCTAGTCTACGGTGGCAGTAGCCCATCGTGGGCGTTAAAAGTACTACATTGATGGATGAACCTATCGACGATTTAGCGCTACATTTCTTTTGGTCGGTCACACCGCGCCCAAGGCTTGGCACGGCGGGGATGAACAAGTGTGCTCAAAACAGTTTCACATAACAACGAGTTCGCGACCATGGCCGGCCCGACTGCGTCATCGACATTCCATTCCCGCAGCCTCCCTCCCTCGCAACCCGCCCCTCTCTGCGTGCGTTCAGTGCGCATGCACCCAACGGGCCCGATCAATTTTTTATCTACACCTCGCCTACGCTACACGTAAACGTATACACAAAAATTTCAATTCTATTTGACCTGAAAAAAATTTCCCGATGGAGTGGAGAAAATCTGTTAAATATAATCTGTCGCCCTGTTCAATGCAAAAAAAATCTATAATTTTGAATAATTTGACAACGTAACAAGATTCATGTTTATTTGTCGTACTCAATGGTTACACATATGTCGAAATACTACCCGAAATGGTGCGCTGTATACCGCTATAACGGGCTGTAACAACAAAGTCGCACAATATCAAAATACAAACAATAATGGCGGCGACACGGGGCACGATCGATATTTACCATTTCTACGGTTGCAGTCAATAAGCATTGGCATATTGGGAGCGTTGGGCACTGCCGATCTCACGTGACACTAAGAAACATCGCCGCGTTACTTTGCACTGTGCTAATTGCAGTTGAATAGTTGAAATTTCTACAATACGAGAACGACGTTCGTATGGATCGGATCATCGCTGGCTACTACACGTACAGCGCTTTTCGTACTCCGCATATGACCCTATGGCGCATGCGTGAATTTAAGAGGGTTCGAAATCGCCCCCGTGGGGTGCGTAACACAGCTGTGAGGGGCCGCGTAGTGGGGGGCCGTCGGGCAGTCGTTTTAGCGGCCGTCCAAACCAAAGGCCAAATTTCCATGTGGCCACAGCTGCAACGCCGGCGACAATTATAGGAGCCGCTCACCAGAGGACTCTTCACGTTGGTCCGAAGCATATGGCATAGCGCGACCAACTTAAACATTATTTCTGAACTGCAACGAAGCGATAGCTATGCGACATCACGTGCGGTTGACAGATGTTAAATAAAATATGATCGGCGCGGTATGCGATGCGCTTATAGCCACGGACCTATTCATGTACGGGGCGCGATAAACAAGCGAGGAGCGCAAAGGAACGATGCGGGAGAGATGTAGTTCTCAATCAGGCGAGCGTCTCGTGCGACGTTGCCGCTCCGCTCGCCGCCGACCGGATTTCATTCATATTTGAGTCGCGGCGTTGCCGCTTTCAGCGGAAACCGCGACCACACAGCGTAAAAAAGGGCCTCTGGAATGTGGCGGTACTGCTGGGCGGGTCTAAGCAGTACCGAATAAAAAAGTGACGGAATGGAATGCGGACAGCACTTAGTACCGTACGTGTTCGGACAATGTTTGGCTATCATAACTGAATTTCTGTGTAAGGTACACGCTGAGCGTATGAAATTGAGACGTTATAGTGGAAACATGAATGGGTAAAACAAATCATTACTTTCAACGTGCTATTTTGACAAAAGGCGGTTTTAATGGTAATGGTTATTTGAGTTTAAATGGTAATGTTCAATTTAGAGTTTCGTATTTTGTTCTTCTGTTTTTTTATAGTATTAAAAAAATGTAAGGCGGCGTGCAACAAGAGCAAGACAAAAGCGATTGCATCCAAGGTCCCCGGCGTCCGGCGCAAAGAGCAAATGAAATTCAGCATTGTGGCTCAAGAGAGCGGCGAGAGGCGGCGCCGAGCGTGGGGAAGGGGACGGGGCAGTGTTCTCATGCCTATGGGTGGTCGCCGCTCGGCTTTCGAATTCCTACGTCTCGCCTGCATCGCCTACGCAACGTAGCGTTTTACTCCACTTCTCTATAGCTTAAGACATTTCCATCTCGCGTCTAGGGTTGCCCAATGTCGCAATTTAAATTCCTTCAAATATAAAATCTGCAATTATTGCATTTATAGATTGATAGACTAAAACACGTAATGTGTTAAACGTACAAATACTGCTGTCAAGTGCTTGTAAATACGGGTAAATAACGTGGTAGCACGAATTTTACGAATATAGGTTACTGTTAATATAGGTACAAGGCTTCCCTTTGAAAAGCGCAGTATTCATCAATGGGAAGACATGAATGACTTTTATGCCGTGCGCGTTGTCTATACAAACATCAGCTTCCTTCTTCATAAATGCATTGTAAAAACAAACTCAGCCATAGCCGAGCCGCCCGGAAACGATATTGGAGGAAACGCGCATCCGCCAGATGGGGTAACATATTTGTTTTATAGCAAGCAACACCGGTCGTAAAGTTAGTGCGATTAAAAAAAATATCAAAATGATTTTAATATTTATTCGATTACTAAAACGTTAAATGAGACTAGTTTAAATGGCCACTTCGAGTTAAGTACGCAGTGAAGCAATAAACTACTGAAGTTGGGAGTAAAACGTTGTGTGGAACTTAATACAGATAAAAAATAATATCTCGATTTGGATAATCGGGCAGATGAGGAAAGATCGCTAACGTAACATTCCGTTGCCGCCGACAACACGATTCTTAATAGTGCTCCCACGATAGCCGCGGGATAGCTGCATTCCGTAGTTCAAGTTTTCCCATACTTCGTATCGTATAAAACTTTTAGCTCTTTAACTTCTCTTTCTTTGATTTAACTCTTTTTCTTTGATTAAATAGCATTTAGTGAAGGTAGTTATCAAATATGAATTTCAATCAACAGTATTATTTTTTATGCATACTGTGTTATAATATCCAATATCGTCATTAGGGTCGGTCTATTTTTAGTTCCAATATCGCGATATCCATTTTCCTTATGATGCTGTGGTATATGGGTTGGCCAGTGAATTACTTTTAATTGCCCTAATAACGACTGGAGAGCTGCTGCTATATATTAAGGGATTATTTAACTCTACTATATAAATGTACGCCCACTGACTGAAACTTTTTTCTTTGTCATAGGCCAGTTGATAACAGTGAAAGCAGGCTATAGGACAACAGGGTTTTATTAAGCTTTAGATGTGAAGGACGCCAAGGGTGAGTCTAGGTCAAAACTTCCCAAAAGATTAAGTCTGACTTATCAATTTTATTTAAAGAACCAGAACCAATTAACCACTCAATGGCCATAATGTTACTAACATTATGGCCATTGAGTGGTTGATTGGTTCATTAGTTCGATATAAACGGACAACAGATGGCGCTAGTAGTGTCACTAGTCTTATAAAACAAGGAAAATTAATTTCTTTATACATATACATTTATATTTCATAGCAAGAAATACATTCAGAATGAAACCAAAACACAAATAATTAAAGGGATCAAAATAAATGATTGCCATTATTCCTGTTAAATACCGTAAATAAACATTAACAATGTTTATTGACAAATATATGAAACCATATTTAGATATAAAATAGAGATAGTATGTAATAATTTTCAATATTTTAAATTGTATAAATAAATCAATAAATCTTTTAAACAAATTAATTGATGCAAACGACCTTAAACATGTAACATTTGTGAGGTCATATCACATGAGGCTCCATTGGGTAAAACAAGCCAGTTTCTGGTATTAGTATTAAAAAAAAAATATATCTTACCTTATGAATAATAAAGATTAATATGTTTATTACATTATAATAGGTGCCTTGGATATGATATCTTAAGTAATTAAAAGATATATCCAATTATCAGTCCTTTGTATTTTCTATAGAAACAGAGACAATAAAGTAATTGTGATAATTTTATCATGATGATGTCAAGTTCTTAGAATAGCTTCAGTTAAATATTATGAACATGAATAAAAATTATAATAAAATGAGCAATAGAATTTTTTTCAGAAATATATATTTAAGAAATATAGGAAAAAATTATATACCTACATAATACAACCACACAGGATATTAACATTGTTTATACTATAGAACATTAGGCTTCACTAACCAAAACCACTTTTTATTTATTATTGAAACTCTTTGTTTCCAATATAGCATTTTAATGTAATAAACATACTTTATTGATAATTTTAAAGCTTTATTATAGAGATTAATTATCCTCCTCCTACCTACAAGTACACCATTATGATCAGAATTTACCAGTTAAAGATGCATTATTTTTTAATTTACACTATATTTAATGTCTTAAGGTACATACTTAATACTTTGAAGAAATGCCGTAAAGTTGGGTTATTTGCTGGATTGGGTTGGGTTACTTTTAATTATTTATCTTGTCGCCCTAAAATTTTAAAATTACATGTTTATAATACACGTTTCGTATTGATTAAAATATAAGGACTTATAATTTTAAAGCTCAAATAACGTAAAGCACTTCTTTTTCAATTCGTCTACGTCAATAAATTTCAACTCAATAAAAATACGTCGGCTGCGTTCCAATTTACAAACATATGTTAAAGAAGGTTATGTAAGGAAAAGAATTTACCTCTAAACGAGTCCATTTGCAATCCCAGTTTTTATCCAAAAAATTTGAATTATTGCCACATAAATTGCTGTAATTCAGCAGCTATTGTCCTCACTTTCACTGGTATTGTAAAAACCGATATTAAACCAAACAACACAACTCTTCTTCCATGAGCGCGAAACTCGCAACTGTCGAAGGAAACGAGACGGTGGCGCTACGAACTCACCGATAAGACATGCGTCATTCGCTGACGTCCAGAAACTGTCTGCGTTCGCGCCTTCTATTCGCCGCACGGTCGAGCGGTGCGAGCGTGTTGGCTAACTGGTTGGCCGATCGAGTGAATTCGATACAGATAAACAAATTAAAGTGTCTGTTTTGCGATTGTTAAAATTTGTTGAAGTCATAACATCATTAATCCTAATTAATTACTATACGAGAAGTTTGTTTGTGATTTTATATTAAGTTTAAATTTACATTCTGCAATGGGTATACTTAGACTTCGCTCCTAAAATGAAACAGCAGTTGATTTAAAATTTTAGTCATTTAGACGCAAGTCCAGAATAATTGATCGTAGCTACTAGCAACGTAGCCTATGCAAAATTGTCCCTTTTTGGTTAAAAATAACAGAATTATGAAATATTTCGATCTGAATACATCCTAAAGTATTAAAAGTTAAAACAGATATTGATTAGATTTCAAAGATATACTTTACGTTTCAAAAATAATAGCTTTAGTTATTAGGTAAGTATATAGTATTTTTTTTACCTTTTGATGGTCCAGCAACAGCAAGTTCACTGTTAGATTCGTCTTCTGATGTAGATTGTTCATCCATATTATTTGAATTTTGAAATATATATGCACTAAATTAAAAAAATATATGAATTGATCTGAAAACCATGAAAATACAACTTTATTTTCACTTTTTTACATGAGTATTTTTTACACGTTTGCTTCATAATTTAACAAAAAAATGACATTATAATGTGACGTTTGAATTATGAATGTCTCTTAATCTACGCGTGGCGAAGTCACAATGAATTCTAAAGGTAAATTACCGGAACAGCCGAGTGTCGTTGACAAACATAGGTGCAGACACTGCCGATGCAACGCAAACGCTTTGATCATCCTACGTTGTTGTGATAAATCATTACGTAAAATATAGCATTCAGACATTAGGCGGATTATTCATGACCGTACGTAATATATCGATGAAATTCTTAGTCAGGGTTGAATTTACATCGATGCCCTGCCCTCCTTTACAAATTTTTGTAACGATTTTCAGGAATGGAGTCGTAAATATTTAACCATATACCAAATGTAGATACGTAAATAAGAACAGATTTAAATTCTTCGGCCATTCTTACTTTTTAATGTATTTTATCACAGCATTTAAGTTACGTAATATCGCCACGAGTTTTGTATTTCCAAACATTGGATTACGAAAAAGCGAACATCTAATCAGGTTAGCAATAAAGTACCTATTTCTTTTTCGACAAATTATCATAACGTCGATCATCGATCTACCAATCTACAGTAAACAAGATTTACTGCAGACCTGACGTCGTTTTATTTCGCTTTGAATTTGGGTATGATCGGTACAATTTAGAACAGCTGTTAATCTAATGTGTTTTGACGAATACAAAAGAGGTTTTATACGAAGTGAAGTTCAGTAAGGCAGGTGCGGTAACAGCTTGCTCGTGCGCGGGTGTGGATGTGCAGCTGCCTCTCCACGTGCTCTGCAGCTGTCGCGATCATCCCCCAAGGCTTGCGCGGTTAATTTGGGACGCAATTTCCAAAAAAATATGAACCTATGCTTTTGTATCGAAAATGGTGCCTATCTTTGGCCTTTGTGAAATCCGTTACGATCCACTGGTGAATAAGCTTCTTAGATGTATTCGAATTTTTCAATTCAAATCGTTAGAAATAAAACTTTAGATTTGAATATACGTGATAATTCCGAGATTTGTGCAAAGTTATTTTTACCAAGACTAACGTTCATATGATTGTTTGTGTCATAAATCACCTTTCTATAATTAATATTATTCCCTGTAATTCCTCCTTGCCTCCTTGTGTTACCTTTTTTTTTTACAAAATTATAGACATGTGACTTTATTGTAGTTTCTCGTTTTTTTTTTTATAACTTACCGAGTTGGTAAGCCGATAGTTCAAAGATTCTACGAATTTGCTGATAGCAATAGATTGGCAGCGATAACGACATGAAACAAGTGTAGGCCTCAATTTTTTTCGGAGAAATGGGTGTTTTCGTAAATTCTTTTAAAGTTATTCATTACTTCTATTGCTTAAAAATTATCAAACAATGGTCCTTTTGGTTTTAAAGTTAAATTAAAGGTCTGATGCCCATTTTCACCATCGATCCCTAGCTTAAAGGGACACCTAAAATTTGTTTCGTTTTCACCACCGCCTCACTTAGGCACTCACGCTTAAGACTTTAGTTGAAATTTTACTAGACTAGACTTACTTCACTTAATTTTTTTAGGTGTGCCTTAAAGTTAGGGATCGATGGTGATAAAGGGCATAAGTAGTCTAGGTTTTGTTATTATTACAAACGTATCATTTAGGAGATCGTTTAGGATTCGAGTATAAGCATCTGGCCTATTTTGGATGTGATGTTAAGTGATTACCGCCGCCCCTGGACATCTACAACTTGGCGGATTGCAAAAACGTTGCCAAGCATTAAGACCAGGGTTAGAGACGAAACGCGAAAATATAGTAGTTCCACATCGGCGTGAAGTGGAAGTAGTAGTGTTACATCCTCAGACGAACCTCCTCATTTGTGCAACAAATGTACAAATTTGCAACACAGTAAATTGTTACATTTATCGAGCGCAAGACTTTTGTTGTAGTCTCTGCATATAAACATTCAAATAAATATTAGAAATAGCCAGAACAAGAACTTAATTAGTTAAAGATAAAGTTTTTATAGCGTTTTTTAACTTTTAAAAAAATAGTGTGTTGATGGCCTAATAGTCAACGACTAATTAAGAATTGTCATGTGGGCTGACACCCACAATATATACGTATAATTTAATGTTCTCATGTATACGTTGATTGCTATGACCTCATCGTGGTATATAATTACGATAAGAAGTTTATTTTAACATGATGGTGTTACGTAATATATAAAGTACATTATGTTTAAAAATTTGAAAATACGTCAAAGATATTTTTCCATTCTTAAGATGATATTGATGTCCCTGATGCATCTAGCATTATAAAGTACACGCGTAACACAAGTTTATTAAGCAATGTTTTATAGTCGAAAGGCTATCAAAAGACTAATCTGTGATAAAGTAATGATAAGCCATCGAGATTTTCTATAAATCACGGCGCTAATTTCTTAATTATGTTACTTTATATTTTTTTTTAGTTTAATTGGTTAGAAGGCAACATCGTTGGGGAATGTACAAGGGCAGGGTAGTAGGCGGTAAATCTTAAAACAAGGCCATATTGAATTAATTAATTTTGACTTTTACTATAATGATTACTGTAGTCATTTTGTTCGACTATTCGACACAAGTCACGTAGACGTCAAATGAGCTAGCTGCTTAGGGGCATTAGTAAAATACATTTTTTAAACTTGTATGAAACCATTTTTTAATTATAAGTCATTTACATTAATTAAATAATTTTTGTAACTTGGTGCCTTAGAATTATATTAATATTTAATACTCCGTTTTCGGACTTCAATTATTCAAATGAGGTCACTTGCCAGATATAAATGCTGGCACTGGTGCGGCACCCAAGTGTTTTTCATTTATTTGTCACCCTAAAATAAATCAGACGCTCTTGGCTTTGGCGGGTTATTTTGTCATGATCGATTTAGTAATGCGCGGCACATTTTCAATATAATTAACATTTTAAATTTTTGTGTTATAACGTAGAGCGTTAATGATCAGTGTCCGGAGAAGATGAGCGAAGAATGTGTAACGAGATTTTCGTCAAGGATATGAAAAGAGATGTAGGGGAATGTTTTTCATGACAATGCTTTGAATACATTAGCAAAAGCAAGAAGGAATCGAACCTAGGACCCCGGATCTGAAGCCAATGGCTTAGCAACAGCGCCATTGAGTACTTTTTCAAATATTTACAAATAAAAGTGCACAGCAGAACGTGTTAAAACTTTTTAATATCATATCACGTGTACGCGTAGATGTAAGAAACTATGCTATTTTGATGTGGTGATAGATCCCATAAATAGCTAATTTAAAAAATGAATCTATCCAATTACAAATTTAGTAATTAGAAATAAATGACCGTTTCGGACTAAGTAAAAAAAAAGTTTTCATTTTGTAGGAGTTGGTTTATTTCATTTAAAATACTAAATCAGACCCACGTCTCCGCCCACTTAGACATTTCTAGAAATGGCGCCAGTCTTCTCTGCCTATCCATAAAATAAGCTTGGTCTATAAATAATTCTCTTCATGCAAAATCGGCTACATTGTTATTTTGAGATTCGTTGTATTTCATTGTCTTATTGCAGCTTCTTTCAATTCCCTGAGAGCTATTAATACGAGAATACTTTGATTTTTTTTTTAATTTATGTTACAATCCTTAGGCCGCTCATTATGTGAGTGTATTAAAACATTTGACGTATCTTCAAATTCTTACTATTATTTCTCAAACATTATCTAGAAATTTTTACGATGATTCCACCACCGAGCACGTGGCCAATCAGCATTATAAATTGCGAAAAAACTCAACTTGAGCATACCAAATAAACGTCCAGATCATAGACAAGGGAAATAGCTAGTACTCTTTGCTCGACGGTTCCGAAATTGAGCTCGGTGTAAGAGGCCTTTTGTATTATCTGAAACGAGCAAAACATCGTGTACATATTATTTTACATTACCCATGTTAATTTCATGAACATATTGGCTGCAGTACAAATGGTGAAAAAACTAGTTACCTATGAAAATGAATATAATATATTAATATATGACAATGGAATTCTTTAATAGCATAAAGAGATTTTTTTTACCCAAATTTTTTTACAAATGATATGGTAAAGTTAAACATTGATCATTATCATTGATCTTCTCTATTGTTGATTTTAGTTATATGTACCTCATAAGCCTTATGGCTGATTGTTGACGAGGGCTTTTTATTATAAATCCTGTGAATTTGTTACGTCCTAGACATCGTACCAACATCTCATAAAAAGTGTCTATTCACTTTTGCCTAGAAATTTTTTATACAAACAAGTATAATATATTATTCGCTGAAAATATTTGTTTTTCATATGAAAAATAACAAAGTACTCTTAAGTTATCATTTATTGCTTTCGTAATTACAACTCTAGAGATAACACGACGCCATTGCGCCGCCATCGCCCTATATGCGTGCGAAGTTTCATATGATTCGTCTGACTGAAATTAAGTGAACATCGAATTGCACAATTTCATTACACATGCATTTATTACATTCTGGTGAAATTAACAAAAGGTTGTAAACATCGTTTTTAGAAACGGTTAATTGAAAGAGGTTACATTTTTTATTATAGAAAACAGAAAAGTCTGTGTTTAGAGCATGGCCGACCCGTGTCCGACTACTTGTTAATAAACACACATTTTAATGAATGAACCATGTCGAGACTCGCGCTCGTGACCCCACAATAACTGGAAAACTATGACCATAATACGTGTGGCGGGAGTGCGGTAAAGTTTACCATTTGGGTGCTAATTGTAATACTTAAAAAACTTTTCTCTTTACCTGTTCGCTTAACGGTTATTCCTTATTGGCTTCAAATTGTGCGATAACTGAGAGAGATAAAGTACACATGTTTTTAATGTTTCATTTTAATTATCACGCTTT